CTGCCCCCTTCAAATATTATTTTTATTTATTTATTTAATCTGTACCCCGCCCTCCCTGCCAAGGCAGGCTCAGGACGGCTTACATAAAAATTGCAACGGATAAAACAACAATATAAATGCCTGCATAAAACACAACATGGTTACTAAAAACAATTTGTATGGTGATGCCAGTGCAGTAGCAGCAGCATATGTAATAAACATACATTCAGCAGTTGATTTCCCTATCGGCATGCTCAGGCTGGGTGATAATATTGGGCACAGGGTTTTAGATAGTTAAGTGCGGCTGCTTGCCTAAAGGCCTGGTGGAAGAGCTCCATTTTACAGACCCTGTGGAACTGTAAAAGGTCCCACAGGGCCCTGATCTCTTCTGGAAGCTCATTCCACCAGGTTGGAGCTGCCACTGAGAAGGCCCTGGCCCTAGTCGATGCCAGCCTGGCATCCTTATGGCCAGAGAGTGTCAAACGATTTTGAGACCCTGACCGTAGTGCTCTCTGGGGAACATGTGGGGAAAGGCGGTCCCTCAGGTAGGCAGTCCCTGACCATAAAGGGCTTTAAAGGTAAGCACCAGCACCTTGAAGAGGATTCGGTATGCTATAGGTAGCTAGTGCAGTGCTTTCAGCACAGGCTGGATGTGCTCCCACATGGGGAGTCCCAGCAACAGCCTGGCCACCGCATTCTGCACTAGCTGAAGTTTCCAGATTTGGGTCAAGGGCAGCCCAATGTAGACAGCATTACAGTAGTCTAATCTTGAGGTGACCATAGTGTGGATCACTGTCGCCAAGTTGTTGCATTTGAGGAAGGGAACCAGCTGCCTGATCAGCCGAAGATGATAAAAGGCTGACTTAGCAGTGGCTGCTACCTGGGCCTCCATCATTAGGGAGGCATCCAGGAGCACTCCCAAACTCCTAACCTCCAACGCTGGCACCAACGGCACCCCATCAAAGGGCGGGAGTGCGATCCCTAGCCCCGGGCCACCCCAACTCAGGCACAGGACCTCCATCTTCGTCAGATTCAATTTCAGTGGGCTCAGTCTAAGCCAGCCAGCCACAGCCTGCAACACCAGGTCCAGCTCTCCTGGGCTAGAGTCAGACTGGCCACCCAACAGCAGATAGAGCTGGATGTCATCTGCATACTGGTGACAACCCAGTCCATGCCTCCGGGCAATCCAGGCAAGGGGGCGCATATAGATGTTAAAAAGCATCAGGGAAAGTACTGCCCCTTGTGGCACTCCGCAAACCAGCAGGTGTCTTCGGGACAGCTGTTCTCCTAATGCCACCCTTTGTCCCTGACCTTGAAGGAACAAGAAGAGCCACTGCAAGGCAGACCCCAGAATCCCAGTGTTGGCAAGGCAGTGGATCAGTAGTTGATGGTCAACCGTCTTGAACACCACTGACAGGTCCAACAACAGGTCCAACAACAGCAACACTACCAAGCCACCCTAATCCAGATGCTTCCAAAGGTCGTCTGTGAGAGAGACCAGTGCCGTCTCCATCCCATGGCCTGGTTGGAAGCTGGACTGGTAGGGATCTAAATACTTAAAGAGAGCAATCATGTCCCCCCTCAACCTCCTCTTTTGTATTAAAATGTTCATTGAATTTTGAGAAGCTTATGTACTTTTAAACTACCTGCCTGTCTCTTCCAGGCTAACCTGTGGTCAAAGAAAATGGACCCACCATGTCCTACTACAAGACTCGTATGACAACACTGGAAAGATAAAAGCCCACCTCCTGTAAAACAATGAACTGAGGACCTTAGAACTCAATATCTGAATGCATGTCATAGAAACAACTGCGTATGGACCTATTTTTAGATTTTTGGAAACCATTTATAGACATTTATGTGTAGATCTGCCACCGCTGTAAAATATTTTTGTCTCTATGTATATATATTTTTCCTCCTCCTTATTTATAATTTTATTTAGTCTCTGGATTTTAAGTTTTTTTTCTTGTTCGTATCCCCCCAGTTTTTCAAAGAAAGAAATACTATTTGGAAAAAAGGAACTATGGGAAATATACTTCTACATTTCCCATCATTCCTCCATATGGAAGATAGAACTACATTATGCTGCTGCCACATCCAGCTAACGATAGCAAAGGGAACTAAGAGGTCGAGGGTGGTGGCAGCTGGGGGAGGTGGGACATGGAACCCCATGGGGACCCCATTCTACAGGTGATCCAGTTCAGGTCCCAGATTGCATTGCTGAACATTTATAGGAAGTTCAGTGACACTACCTGAGGGACCGCCTTTCCCCGTATGTCCCCCCAAGAGCGCTACGGTCTGGGGCCCAAAACCTTCTAACTATACCGGGCCCCAAGGAGGCTAAGCTGGTCGTCACGAGGGCTAGGGCTTTCTCGGTGGCGGCCCCTGCCTGGTAGAATGAGCTCCCGGAGGAGATCCGGGCCCTGCGGGATCTGGCGCAATTCCGCAGGGCCTGTAAGACGGAGCTCTTCCACCAGGCTTTCGATTAGGGGCCGCCGCCGCTGCCCCCCCCCGCTGTATACCATCAATGTGGGGGGGGGTGAGGGCCCTAGGAGACTAGGAGGAACATCGGTGGAACATCTGATTAACATCTTTCATACTATGCCTACTAAGGGATGTGTGGTGCCCTCTCTGATGCCTTAGTATGGATGCTGTGTAGTTTGAGCACTTTATTAATTGTTTAGGCTTTTAAATTGTATATTATGGTTTTAAAATGTATTATAGTATTGATGTTTTTATGAGCAAGTTTTTGCTATGTAAGCCGCCCTGAGCCCTACGGAGGAGGGCGGGATATAAATTTAACAAATAAATAAATAAATAAATCATCAGATTCCCTTGCACTGTTTCTGGTGCCAAATGGAAATGGGGAGTACTTACCCATCATTAATTAAGTCCTATTTTATTGATGCTTTAATGTTTTGTAAGACATGTTGGGGATATTTTCTACAGAAAAGTGGAACAGAAATGCTTTAAACAAACAAACAATTAAAATTAGCCCTATTAGTAAATTCCAAGCGCTTTGAGCATGCGATCATAAGTATTAATGCGATGAGGACTAATGGACCCTCCTTTTCCCATTCTACAGTATTTGCAGAAATGTTCCCTTCTTGTCCAGTAATTTCCTGGACACCTCAATGCAAAGATGAAACCTTTACCTGGTGTTTGTTCTGGCGTTCCACCAAGTGCTGGAGCAGACTGTTCATGCCTGGTGAGTCTCGCAGCTAACAGGAAAAAAGAAATGTCCTGTTAATGCGACCTCGGTGACAGCTTCTGTGTTCCCATGGCACCTCTAGAGCTTACATATCACTTCTGCACATCCTCAGTACAGTAGTAATGTTAGTGCTATAACTAGGGAGGCCAGGTCTCCTGCCTCAGTGGGAGACTTCCTGTCCCCTTCCAGCTCTGCCTGCTGCTGCTCAGCTGGGAGGCAGGGAGGGCATGCTGGGAAAAATGGGGGACAATCCGTGTCACCCAAATGCAATGACATCATTTCAGGGTCATGTCTGAAGTGACGCCATAATGTCACTGGCTGGCCCCCTCCCTGGTAAGTCTTCCACAGATATCGTAGCTGTTACAAAGAAAGTCTGTTTATATGGCCAAAATATAAGATTTGGCCAAAGGGTTCAACATTATAGCTGCCTATAGTCCAACAACAAGCCAGGAGTGAATAGTTTCATCCATGCGTATCTCTCAGCAGGGTGAAAATCAATCTTGCTATACAATCTTGTTTTTACCATCTCGGCCTCCCCTGCCCATAGTAGGCCTACAGCTGCCTACTATCCTACTGACACCTAACAGGAAGCGTTTTAGGATGCTCCAGACTGATGTTATTTTTGGCTGCCATCCTGTTTTTATTTAATTGGTTTTAATTGTATATTTATTGTTTTATCTCTGTTGTGAGCCACCCTGAGCCCATCATGGGATAGGGCAGGATATAACTGCAATAAATAAATAGATAAATATAAATGCAGTGGGGCAATCAGATGAGATCATCACATTACTGTTGGGCTGCTGGATGCTGCTGTGTTTTAAATAGGAGTTTCATATCAAGGATTTTAAATTGTGTTATATATTTATTGTATATTTATTACTGCTTTTAACATTGTATACTGAATTGTATTTTACTTGGTTATATGCCAGTCCAAACCTCGCTTGTTGAGGGAGTGGCAAGGTATAAATCTGATAGATAAATAAATGTGCCTGACATTCAGTCATAAGCACTGATTGGCCAGACTCTTCAGGAAGTCAGCTTGACAACCTTTCAGGCTGGCGCACACATGATCTTCCCCCCACATGCCTTGAAAAAAAGTTCTTTATGGCCCTTTTAAGGCAGTACAAAAGCTTCATTTACTAATTAGAGGCAATGCTTCCTCTAAGCTGTGGAGTCTTGTGAGCAAAAATTCTACTTTGTGAGCTACTGGCATTAAAGTTGTGAGTGAGCAATGTGGCTACTGCATAAATTAATTTGCTCTGGAGCCATCCTTCCTGAGCTAAGACAAAAATGTGTGAGCCAGAGGCTAAAAAAACCTGTGAGCTAGCTCACACTAACTCAGCTTAGAGGGAACACTGCTTAGAGGTTTGATCCTATCACGTCTACTCTTCAGCGGCTGAGGGCCGGCTTCCTGGTCAGATTCAAGATGCTAATTCTAACCTATCCATTCCACTAGCAGTGGCATTTTCCTCCGCCAGAAGGAATCTTTGCTTGATGCATCGGGTAATGGCTGAGGGCTGGCTTCCTGGTCAGATTCAAGATGCTAATTCTAACCTATCCATTCCACTAGCAGTGGCATTTTCCTCCGCCAGAAGGAATCTTTGCTTGATGCATCGGGTAATGGCTCTTTCCACCAGAGGAAAGTACCTCTTTGAGCAGAACAGATATGCAGACTCCAACCTAAATGCCTGTCTGAATAACATTTGTATCAGCCTGAAACTGAAAACAGGTGCGTGATTTATAACTTTATTCCACAAAAGAAACTTTGAAACTCTTTCAATGACGGGGGAAAGGTGAAGAAATACTCAACGGATCTTGCTGGTCAAGGTTTCTGGAAGAGAAAGTGCTCTCTTGGATTCCACAGGGCCCTTCACGCTGTCTCTCAAAGAGCGGACACTCTTCTGCCGATTGCGGGCAAAACGAGCCCTCTTGATCTTCCACATGGCTGTATCACTCAGATTTGCAACATTTGTCCGGACAGCCGTGATTGCTTTTCAAACATGATTCAATAAGTCAGATTTCATTTCACAGCATGTTCCAGATTATATCTTTTCAAGTGGAATCATATACTTACACATGAGACTACTAGCTGTCAAGCTATTTCAAATAATTATAAATTACATAAATACACTTAATTGAGTAATAATAGGTTGGATCCTACAGAAGTGCAATCAGAAAGAGGTCATGGAGGCAGGTGTTCCCACTTTCTCTTTTCCCCTTACACACACACCGCAAATCCTCTGCTTATGGCCAATGTTCCCTCTAAGCTGTGGAGTCTTGTGAGCAAAAATTCTACTTTGTGAGCTACCGGCATGAAAGTTGTGAGCGAGCGATTGGGCTGCTGCATCAATTACTTTGCTCTGGAGCCCATCCCTTCCTGAGCGAAGACAAAAATGGGTGAGCCGGAGGCTAAAAGACTGTGAGCTAGCTCACCCTAACTCAGCTTAGAGGGAACACTGCTTATGGCTGAGACATCCTCATCAACAAAAGACACTGCTGCATGCAGGGGGCTGTATGTGAGGAGTGTAAACTAGGCAAAATTCCTTCTCCCTCAATCCACGAGTGGATGAGGTCTGGTAGAATACGTTTTCTAAGAGGGAGATGTGGACAATTTTGCCCTCCACTATATTGATGAGAAGGGTCCCCCAAATCCTCTGCTAAGGGGGCATGTGGATAAAAATGTGGCTCTGCAACCGGCTTCCTCTTGCCGCACTGTAGGATCAAGCCCAAAAGCATTTCAAGTGATCAGCTCCACTCCTTCAGGACATAAATATGCATAGCTCCTGAAGCAAACTTCACGCAGCATCAACACGCACTGCTTAAACCAACAGACTCTCGGTTTGTCTCATTTTCACTTTTGTATGAGAGTAAGATCGTTGGGGCGGGAGGCATCACTCCGTTTCATCTGCCCCAACCGTAGGGCTTGCAAGCTGATTGGAGTTAAATAGGTACTACCAGGGGTCATTCCGTAGAAAAAGAGGTGCAGGAGCTCATTAGCATAACTCATTAGCATAACTTATTTGCATATGCCACACCCCCTGGCATAAGGGATCTTATTAAGAAAATAACGCCTAAGTACAGGGATTTAGCTGTAGCTATATATATATATATAGGCACCAAATAATGCTTACTTGTTGGGAAGGGGAATTCTTTGTTGCAATCCAGGTGAAGCTGTGCCTCAAGCGAAAGCGTCTCAAACCGGTTCACAAAGAATTCCCAGCTCAATGCTGGAATGTCTTGCTTGAGAAAATGAAGCAGCAAAAGCTTGCTAAGGATTGTGGGCCTGTCCTTCACTACCGTATCAAACTGGAAATCCAAGCAAAGGCACAGGCCCTGGGGGGAGAGGGAATAAAAGGAAGGCGTAACACATACAATAGCAATTATTTCTTCCAATAAAACGTATTGCTCAGTGTCACCAAGGATCTTGAGGGATTACACAAACTGGAACAGCCATTGACAAAATAACTAACTACATATGTTCTGGCAGCTATGAAAAAGCAGCAAAAGAATGATAAATTACAATGTTGTTGACTACATGACAGACAATTGACTTTTACACATTGATCCTATTTTAGGCTGGGCTCTGATGTCATAACAATCCCCTGATCATGACAGGCACAAATGTAGCTTGTTTGCTGTGTCTGCGCATTCCCTCCTTCTTCCTCCCTCCCTCTGTCCCTCATGGACGGAACGCAAGTGAAAGCTAACTGATTTGGGAAGCCTTCAGTCAAGCTTCAATTTGCCATGCCGTCCAAATGCAGGCACTTGGGCAAATTGGAGTCTTTTTCTTTCCTACGAACCATGATTTAACCAAGATTTAGAATCCTGGTTTGTGGAGAAGAAGCAACATGTCAGTTTGCTCAGGCAACCGCTTTCAGACCCCACAGCGCTCCACACAAGAGGGGGGAAAACATGCAGACATGGCAAACAGGTTATGCTTGTGTCCGTCACACACAGAAGTTTGTTATTCTATCTGATACGTGGCCTTAGTTTGCCTGGTTTGTTTTCCTTTAACTGTGTATGGCCAGCAGCGAAACAAAAAACCTGATATTGCATTGAGGGCCTAATCTTACTTCAACCCAGGTGGAAATTAAAGCACTTTTATTAAGCCAAGGAGAATGAGGCTTTCTTAATGGACAATAGTCCAAGGCATTGCCCTGACCTGGATAGCCCAGGCTAGCCTGATCCTGTCAGATCTCAGAAGCTAAGCAGGGTCAGTCTTGGCTAGTAATTGGAAGAGCAACTTCCAAGGAATACCAGGGTTGTGACACAGAGGCAGGCAATGGCGAACCACCTCTGAAATATCTCTTGCCTTAAAAACAAGTCTAGCTTGCCACCTAGTGGTGCATAACGTGAAAGAGCTAGAACTTCTGGCTGCTAGGCAATCTTAGGATCTCCTGGCTATTCTACACACAATGCCTAACAACAACAACAATATAGTACAAGGCATTATTAAATTCAGAACCCTGCAAATATTCAGAATTAGATAAGCACAAGGACAGTTTACGGTGACAGAATGGATTTAGAAAGCAAAGGCTTATTTTGGGGGGGGGAAGAGTTGTGGATAGTTTGTGCTTCAGCTACATACATGCAACCTTGTGAGGTTTGTTGGGAAATGATATTATTTTAACATGAGCAAAAAATTCAACTGTTCAGAAGTGGAACCAATACAAACCACACCTGTAACAGGTGGATATGAACTTTCCTAACACTGTTCTGTTCAAGGGAAAACAAGCCTTCAGTCTGCACCAATACTCCCTCTAACCAGTTGAGTCTTGTGAGCAAAAATTACACTTTGTCAGCTACTGGTATTAAAGCTGTGAATGAATGATTTGGCTACTGCATAAATGAGTTTGCTCTGGAGCCATCCTTCCTGAGCTAAGACAAAAAATGTTTGAGCTGGAGGCTAAAAAACTGTGAGCTAGCTCACACTAACTCAGCTTAGAGGGAACACTGGTCTGCACCATTCAGGCTGAAAATCATATTGGTTTGAAGCAGCAGGACAATGTTTGAGTCCAGTGGCACTTTTATGACCAACAAAGTTTTATTCAAGGTATAAGTTTTTGTGTGTATGCACACGATATCTGAAGAAGTGTACCATACACACAAAAGCTTATACCTTGAATAAAGCTTTGTTGGTCTTAAAGGTGCCACTGGACTCAAACTTTGTTCGTCTGCAGCACTGCTATGTAGTTAAGGTTTGTTATCTTCATCCAGACATTTTCCTTCTAAAGTGATCCTTCTAAAAGGGCTTTTAGGGTATTTCTACACCCTTTACCTGAAAATGGTTGGCAAATATTCTGGTTTTGCTCACAATAATATTCATTTCGGGCACATAGCATCCTAGAAAATATATCCCTTTGGGATATTCTTCAGCACCAATGGCCCTGGTGTGGGAAATACCCACAAGTCCTACTGCTACATTAACCTACCTGCAAAGCTGGTCTTTTGATGGTGTCTAACAGTAGTCCTGCCCTGGTGGCAACTGCAGGGTTGACATCTTCCACAGCAGTCAGGAAACAGCAGAAGGCATGAGCCAGGGAGTATTTCAGCAAGTGGTTTTTGGTCACCGAGTGAATATCCAGGAACCGACACATCACAGCTACTTTCTCCACTGGTAGCAAAGATCAAGGTTTTAATTTTTTTTAAATAACTGCTTTAGTTCAGACAATGGCACATACTTAAGCTTTGCAACACTACTGAAAGAGGATCTAAAAGTTCAATTTCCCCCCCCCCCTTTTCAGTTTTGGATGAATAATACAGCAGAAAGACATTCGGGATTATAATGAGTATCAGTCATCATTCTATTGAATGGCAGTTCAAAGTAGATGTAAGGCCAGCTAAAAGTTCCATAAGATTAATAACGTTAATCATAATGACAAATGGAGACCACACAGCCAGGAACATTAAAAGGTATGGCCCTGGGGTTTGGGTAGTAATTCACAAGTAAGACAGGTGTGTTTTATGGGAGGAGACACAATGGCCAGTCTTGGTTTAATGTTTTATTATCATACAGCTATATGAAAATAGATTAGTATTTGTTCCATTTTATCTGTTTAAAGTTTGTGTTCTGTTCCAGCAATGATGAACTGCTTGCCACTGATTTATTTTATTTATTTATTTCATTTTCTTTTTATCCCACACTCTCCTGCATCGCAAGGCTCAGGGCAGGTAACAACAACATAATAAAATCCACCAAAATTATTAATATATCAACAATTATTAAAATCCAAATGTAATATCATTTATAGCGCAGATTAATACCACCACTCCTGCATCAATTTCATGTCTGTGCACAGTAGATAGTGATGAATAATACGGAGGGTGCGCAGATAAGTAAGACAATATGAGATGGAAAACGCCAGGGGGAGCCAATACTGATAAGTCACCGCCACCTCAACCATAGGTCTGGTGGAACATCTCCATTTTACGTGCCCTGAGAAACTGCATTAGATCTCACAAGGCCCAGATCTCTCTTGGGAGAGTGTTCCACCAGGCCGGTGCCAGAGCTAAAAAGGCTCTGTCTGAGGCTAAGCAGACTTCCTTTGAGCCGAGGTCCACTAGCAGATGTTGGTCCATAGAGTGTAATGCTCTTTGAGGGATGTATTGGGAGAGACAGTACTGAAGGTATGTTGGTCCCAGACCACATAGGGCTTTAAAGGTTAAAACCAAAACCTTGAATTTGATCCAGTACTCAACCGGAAGACAGTGCAGCTGGCAGAGCACCAGTTGTATATGTGCTCTTAACGGTGTTCCTGTAAGGATATACGCCACTGCCTTCTGGACTAACGAGTTCCAAGTCAATCTCAAGGGTAGGCCTGCATAGAGTGCATTATAGTAGTCCAGCCTGGAGGTGACCCTTGCATGGATCACTGTGGCTAGGTCATGGGGAGATAGGTAGGGAACCAGTTGCCTGGCTGGGAAAAGGTGGAGAAATGCAGATCTGGCAATGCTCATGATTGATAAGGAGGCATTGATAAGGAGGCATCCAAAATCAATGCCTTCATTGATAAGGAGGCATCCAAAATCATGCCCAAATTCTTCATTGTTGGTGCCCCATCAAGAGGTGAGAGTTGGATCCCTAATCCCATCCCACAACCCGGCTCAGGCACAGGATTTCAGTTGACTCTGTTTTAACCAGCCAGCCACAGCCTCCAGGCCCCTGGCTAACATATCTGGGGTGGTATCCAGCCAGTCGTCCATCAACAGATATAGCTGGGTGTTATCAGTGTACTGATGACAACCCAGCCCAAAGCTCCGCACCAGCTGGGAGAGGGGGCACATATAGATGTTGAAGTATATAGGGGGGAGAATTGTCCCTTGAGGGATACTGCATACCAAGGAGTAACATGGAGAAACCCTCTCCCCAATAATATCCTCTGATGCACCCATCTGTTTTTCCGGCCCCAGCTTCACAGTGCTTTGAAGCTTTTGCTGATCCTAGAATCACTTTAAATTCTGGATAAAAAAATGATGGTTGCCTAGCTGTTTCCATGGGGATGCTTTTTAGAACTATGTCCTTCCTGTTTCTGATATTAATAACTGGATTGATAGAGGAAAATGTCCCCTTCTCCCTCACACCTGTTGAAAACTGATTAGAACCAATGGCACATTCATCCATCACAGTTCACATGTGCCATGCTTTCTCTGTACCCTAGTCCTCCGTCCTTGCTCACTGTAAGAAGAAGCATCTCCTGGAGTAGCACAGCATCTCTGAGCTGTGATCGTGCACCAAACACATCCTGAATGAATGAGAGATCCCTGCAGATGTCTGGAGCAAAAACTGCATAATATTAAAGACATACCTGCTTCAAACCTTATCTTCCATTCCTTGCTGTTGAAGTTGCTGTTGATGATGGTCCAGAATATGTCCGCTCCATGCGGAAGGGACAGAGCATGAAGAAGGAGAGGCACTGCTAACGAAGAAAGCTGGGAGAATTTGGATTTGACAACTCGCCATAAGCTGGAGAAGAAAAGCCAAACAAAGCTCATCAGTTCACACCATCACTCACAGGTTTTCATAAACTATGTACAAAATGGCAACATAACTATGCTGCGAGGCTAATGATCCTGCTACTTCAGGGAGTTCGTATTCGTCCCTGGAAGGCAAAACATCTTGGTCCCAAGACAAGATGATCATTTTCTGCTTCCAGTTGGAATACTGCCTCTGTTTACACTGGGAATTTACCTCAGAAGCAAGTGGGGCCATGGTATACTTCAAATACCTGTTTTTTACCTCACCCAGCCGTGTCCATGAACTGGGGCCCTGGACCTTTGCCCCAAACTCAGCCATAATGCCACCACTGTTGTCACGCACCATTGTTTTGCTATAGACAACAAATATCCAACTGGCTTTGCAAAAGTGAGCGGCTGGCTAAGAGCACATACCTGGCAATCAGCATGTGATCCTGAATATAGGCTAAGAACAGGGGATGATCCTTTCTTGCGATGTATAAGCACTCCCCATGAAGACAGAGAATCTTTAAGCAGTTCAACATGTTAAAAAGGATATCTGGCTCTTCAAACCGAGCCATTTCCTGTGTGAAAGCAAACAAAACAAGCACATTCATTCCAACCAAAGTACATAATCCTTTGTTCTACAAATTCTAAGAAAAAGCAGAAGGTCATCAATCAAAAACACAACTGATGTTAATGTAAGTCACGAGAGAGAGGTGATTCAAGCCTCGTACTTGAAAGAAAACACTCTGGGTGCGTTCAGACGGGGCGTTTCAGCCGGCATAAACTGTACCGGTTGGAACCATTGCAGTTTATGCCGGCTGAAACGCGATCACACTTACCTCCTGTCTGCGGAGCCCATTGCTGTATGCCCGTTCACACACAGTGGGCGTCGGCGGTTTGTTGGGTTTTTTTAACTTAGTTTGCGCATGCGCATCGGCAGCCATCCACAGAATGGCGATCTTCGCACATGCGCAAAACACCCAGTCCAGGAAAGCATGCCCTGAAGAGAGGACTTACCTTTAAAGTTTAAAGAGCAAACTGGCCTCCCTGAGGTCCCGGACTCCTCTAAAACATTAAACTAAGGACCTGTTCTTTCTTTTTTTAAACAAACGCCGGAGCAAAGCTTCGCTCAAGCGCAAATCACCAACCTAAAAAAAATGGCGGGCGAAAATCGGAAGCCTTGGGCTTCCGACTAGAAGTGGCTCTACAACAGTGTAGAGCGATCAGACGGGGGGGGGGGAAAAGCAATTACAACCGTTGTACCGTTGGGGACCCAGTGGCAGAATAAAACGGTTTAAAGCTCTTTGCAACGGTTAGGGATTGAAGGCAGATGTTCGCCGTGTGAACGCCGGTAAGTACACCGATTCCAACCGGCACCTATACCGTTGTAAATGCCCCATCTGAACGCACCCTCTGTCTCATATTTTTTACCACTCCAGAGCTTAGGAAACAGCCAGACTAGTGTAGTGGTTGAAAAGTTACACTAGACTTGGGAAACTCACATTCAAATACCCACTCTACCATGCTGGGTGAGAATAGGTAATTTGAAAGGAGACCTCAGAGAGCCACTACCAGTCTGAGTAGACAATACTGACTTTGATGGACCAAAGGTCTGATTCAGTATAAGGCAGCTTCATGTGTTCATGTGACCTCAGGCCAGTCATTTTCTCTCAGCCTAATTTACCTCAGAGGGCTGTTGGGAGGGTAAAATGGAGGAGGAGAGACCAATATATGCCCACACCCCCAAGCTTCTTAGAAAAAGAATGGCATAAAAATGTACTAAATAAATAATGTTCCCATAGAATACTAGGGTTAGAAGAGGACTTCTAGGTCATCTAGTCCAGCGGCCCTGCTCAATGCAGGTAATCCAAACTAAGAAATTGGTTCCGTTGTCAAACTACCCTTTGTTGGAAATGTATGTGTTTACAAGGTCTGATGATTCAGTCATTATAGGGTTAACTTGTATTCCTAGTTTGCTATTGTTTAGACTGACCTGGAAGGGATACCTGGCACTAAGCCAATGGGGAATTAGCCCGGGAAAAGTAGCTTCTACTGTGATACAGATTGGTCATTTGTTTCAGGTGACTTCCTTTCTAGGGGTCAAGAAGAAGGAGAGAATCTCCACCATTCTGTGTGTGCTTGTTTTGACTATAGGCAGCTTAGAAATGTAGCTCTTAGTGTTATGTTAATTTGTAGTAATCCCGTGAACCCTTTACCCTTAGAATAAAGGTTTTTTAAAAGCAAAGAAATCTCTTCTTTCCAATAGAGCAAGATCCATTTAATAGTCTAAGTATTAAACATTTTTTTGACTATTTTTCAACACCCTTATCATGAGGAAATCCCTCCTTATATTCAGCTGCAATCTACCTTCCTGTGGGAAGTCTGTCAGATCTATCTTTGCCCTTTGGAACAGCACTGAACAATCCCTTGCCCTCCTCTATGTGACACCTCTTGAAGCAGCTGTACAAGCATGTCCTTCCTCAGTCTGCTCCAGGATAAACATACCAAATTCCTTCTACTTTTCCTCGTGAGATTGGTTTTCCTCACCCTCCGCCATCTTGACTTCCTTCCTCTGTACCAACTTGTCAACCTCCTTCTTAACGTGATACCCACAACAGGACAGAGTATTCCAGATGAGGTCTAGCTAGCAGAGGGGGATCATTAGTCATGACTTGGATACTATGGTTTCTATTAACACAGCCTAAAATCACATTTTTCATTTTTGGCTGCTATATCACACTGCTGACTCTTCTTCAGCCTGCTGTCCTGTTATCCTTTTTCACGTGTACTGTTGCCAAGCCAGGTATCTCCCATGAGCCCAGATTCAAAATCAAAAGGGGGGATGGCCTTATAAAGACTCCACTATTCCACTCAACCAAATCCATAAATCCGAACCAAAAAAAAGATTAGACTTTACCTGCAATATTGTGTATATGAGCTTTAGCGTCACCGGGAGCTGCTGATAACAGAATTTCCTCTCGGTGTCGTTTTTTATGGCTGTGGAAAAGCGACATATACAAAGGATCACAAACATCTAAGTGAAGCCATGAACCAACTGTTGTTGTTTTAAGTATTTCTGGGATAATACAGGGAACCACATCATTCTCACGATTTTTGCAACCATCTTGTTACACTTAGTGACCTGGAGCTTTCTGGCTCTCCATGCAATAGTATTCCCATCATGGATAGGGAGGTTCTGCCAATGTAAGAAGACCTTCCAGCTGATAAAATATCACAACATGGGTATGTTATTAACTGGCTGTGTAAATCCACTGTGTTCCAAGTGGGGTGGTAATGAATTGAGAGTCAGACAGGAGCAATAAGGCAAATGTTAAACAAATCTGCCTCTCTGTCTCTCTGTGTGTGTGTGTGTGTGTGTACTGAGTCACTTCCTGTAGCTGTTCCCTCACACTCTATCTTCCCCTGGGCCCAGTGTTCCATCTAAGCTGAGTTAGTGTGAGCTAGCTCACAGTTTTTTAGCCTCTGGCTCACACATTTTTGTCTTAGCTCAGGAAGGAGGGCTCCAGAGCAAACTAATTTATGCAGCAGCCAAATCACCTGCTCACAACTTTAATGCTGGTAGCTCACAAAGTAGAATTTTTTTCATAGGACTCCACAGCTTAGAGGAAGCACTGCCTGTACCCTTGAGTTATTCCCTCATCTACTTTCCTAACTCAGTTCCACAGATACATGTCATACAGTATACACAGTGGAGTCCTACGTTAGTTCAGGAGCTTCATTTTGGTACTACTTTGTAACACTGAATCACTTGGCATCATCTAATATGAGTCAGACATGGAGTTAAAACAGATGAGATGCTGGGAGATTCAGGACTGTATCCTCCCACAGTTTTAAAAATGCTAGTTATCTACACAAGAACTCAGTTAGGTGACCCAGTTGGGACCACCGACTAGGGTTGCCAAATTGAAATTGGCCGGGAGCGGGGGGCTCCCGGCTGATGTCCTCTCCATGCGCGCGCATAGCACGCGCCGCGTCACCCGGAAGTGACGTCACACACTGGGGGCGGAGCCACGCCATTTGAGGGGGAAACTCTTTGTTTCCCCCTCAAATGGCGTGGCTCCGCCCCCAGCGTCCAATGTCACTTCCGGGTGACGCGGACGCGGGGGTGGGGTTTCCCCCGGACCCCGATTTTGCGGGAGCAGGAATCGGGACTCAAAACCGGGGGGAATTCCGCCCCCCGGGGGCATTTGGCAGCCCTACCACCGACAGAGAAGAGGGTTTTACCCCTTCTCACCTACTCAACAGTCAATTGTTCTTTAAGTGTCAAATTGGGGCAGAGCAGAATAATCTGTTACAATATCAGGACTGCAATCAAAACTCTTTCTGTTTTGGCCTGACCTGGATAGCCCAGGGAAACTTGATCTCAACAGATCTTGGAAGCTAAGCAGGACTGACCCTGACAAAGTATTTGGATGGGAAACCTCCAAAGAATACCAGGGCCGGGAGGTCAGAGGCAGCCTATTGAGCCACTTCTCTGAACATCCTCCATACTCCAGTAGGAAGTCACCATGACTTCCAGGCACGGGCACAAACACACACCCAGACAGACAAAAATGCAAACCCCCCCAAAAAAAAAACCCCACTTCGTTCTATTTTCATCCCCTGATGTTGCACCTGAGAAGGAGATCCCAAATCTGTTTTGAATTTCACTTTAGGTGAAATTCAGAATTAGTGTGAAGACTGTGACATGTGAAACAGCAAAACTACAGTTCACCGCATCTGGGAGTCATCTGATATTAATAAAGTGCTATAGGAGGCAGGGTCTAGGCAGGTAAAATGCTGGCTCATTTTCAAGATACCATAACCAATGGGTAGTCCCCATATAAGTTTTCCAGATTTTTTTTCACATGGTTCTCAAATATAAAACTGCATGGGAAAAAATGAACACTGTCTGGTTCAGTGAAACAGATCTCATCACAAATGTGTTTTCTGCTGTTTGTTTTTTTTAAAATAATATTTTATTTCATTAAACATGTCCAACACCAACACCACCCGTGTGCAACTTCCAGGCATTAGAGACATAAATAAAATTCCATACAGTATTATATCACAATCAATCTCAATACAACTCTATTACTCTATTAACCTTCCATCTTAATCTTATAATCAAATTAACCTCTCAATTTCCTATTAACTGACTAATCACCCCAAATTTTTTAAACTTTCCCAAATACCCCGCCATCCTTCTAAACCAGTCCTCCTCCTGGTCATTAACCTTTAACCCATTCATTCATTCATGAATGTGTTTTCTGCTGTTAATTGTCTTGTGAAACCCACACTTCCCCCCACCCTTTAACCTGGGATAGGAGATTGAGGATGAGGGGCAACTGTGACTAAGGCTGCAATCCTAATTTTACTTTTCCAGGAATAAGCCTCACTGGATAAATGTGACTTTATATCTGAAAAGACCTTCTTGGGCTGTCTCCTTAACAGTGTTATTTAAGTAGACTTGTGCCCTTCTAAGCCCATTGATTCCAATGTATGCCCTTCTTAAATTAGTCTTGCACTGCAAGAGTCACAAAAGTCAATTGAAAGCATTAGAGAGCACCATAAAATCTAGGTGGTTGTAAAAGCAAGAGTTTTGAAATACAAGCTCGTCCACCTTCACTCTACCTGTATTTCCTGTTGTCTCTGTATGGTTCCCTGGGTTTTCTCCATGCTTTGGTGCTGGTTTTTTCTCCTCTTCCCCTTCAGTTCCTATAATGAACTCAGGTCTACTGTATAAAAGACTGTCCTCAAGGTTATCTGTAGGTTCCTTTAGAACAGAACAAGGGGTTAAATTAATCTCTTGATGTCCACCTTTTCATGTTCTAGGCCAAACATACCTCCTGAAGACTTCAGAGAGTTTTTAAGCCTGAGCTAGGGTTACCATCAGGCCTGAAGAAAATTGTTTTTCTTTTTGCATGAACACTTGTACTTCAGTAAAAGAGGCACCAAAACTACTACCACTGATCTAGGCAAGACCTGTTCAAATATTACACTGATGCATATCGAGAGCCTCCCAACTGCATGTAATGGGAGCATGTATCACCTGAAATCCTCCTGATAACATGCAGTTGCTATGAAGTTTGAACAGTGGCAACACACATATTTACCATGTATGAACAGCTGCCATACGCACTTATCTGTGGATTTTTCAGTGTTTGTACCCATTGTCTCTCAAGGCTGTAAGTTCATTGGAGATACATCTATCTGAAGAAGTGTACATGCACAAGCTTATACCCAGAATTAAACTTTGTTGGTCTTAAAGGTGCCACAGAACTCAAACTTTGATCTATTGCTCCTGTTCACATAACACAATAGCCACATGTATTGGTGGTGGTGGGGAACATGGGTACTGCATGCTCGCATTATGCAGAGTTGGTAGGCTCTGGGTACATGACATTGTAAAGTCTGAAAAGGTTTCATTCTGTCCCTCTTCCCTGTCATGGCTGATCACTACAAAGGCTGCGCACAAGCTCATTATCTGCTGACCTTGATCAATGGACATTCCACTGGGTCTCTGAGGATTACAGCTGAATATTTCACATTCATTTCTCACATGGCTTGTGCCACAACCAATTTCAGTACCCTGGTACATGAATCTGTAATTGCAACCAAGGGGGTTGAGCACTTGCTTTATAATGAAAAGCTGATGGTTTAGAGAAAAAATCAGGGAAGGGTAATGATAGGGGCTTATAAAACTATGGTGGAAAGAGAGATTCCCCTCCTCAGACCTATAATACTGGAACTCATGGGCACCCAATGAAATTAATGGGCAACAGATTCAGGACAGGCCAAAGGAAGTACTTCTTCACTCAAAGGATGGCTTATAGAATTTGACACTATGTGATGTGTTAACAGTCCCGAGTTTTATTTGCTTTAAAAGGGGATTAGGGTTATTAATAGAGGATAGGTCCATCAATGGCTATTAGGCACGATGACTAAATGGAACCTCCGTGTTAAGAGACATCAGACTTCTGAATAACAAGGCAACAGAGGGAGGCATTGGACTCTGTGATCTACTTTGGGGGGCATTTGGTTGATCCCTGTGAGAAACAGGATGCTGGACTAGATGGACTATTGGTCTGATCCAGCACTGTTTGCACTATGACTATTGGTCTGATCCAGCACTGTTTGCAAAAATATGGGTTTCAAATACATACTTTATACTGCTGTATGTGCACTAATAACAAACATAATCTGTAATGTTAGTCTACATTAGACAAAAGCAATAGATGGGTGTACACTGGGGCAATATCCTTACATTTATTGCCTTGCTTACCACTAGCCGGATTTCTTCTTTAGGGGCTAGTCTCTCCAGCAGTTCACAAGCCAACTGATAGCACAGGATACTAGACTGGCACAGGTTACATTCAGTTGCCTTTTCATCTTTCTGGCAAGTGTGAGAGCCACCCCAGGGGGCTTGGAACACATTGCATATGATAGAAATTATGTCTTTAGAGATGTTGTTTTCTAAGCCCAAGGTAATGCCATCATCTTGCAATTCCATCTGAAAAACAAGTTTCAAAAAGGATTGTGGATGAAAACAAGCATCGGCACAAGATAAAAACCACAGGCAACCATCTGCTAGAATTGCCATCTCCTTTATGGACAGAAGTTCTAGGTCTTTCAGATCTGCATGGCATGCACAAAATCTGCATGGCATGCACAAAATCTGCATATCATGCACAAAATCTGCATATCATGCACAAAATCCCAGGAAAAAATTGTCTTGTCAAGCAGCTTCTAAATGCAAATAGTCTGTTTCAGGGGAAGGGTCACAGTTCTATAAAGGGGATAGAGGGTTCTAGAAAGGGACAGGGAGGATAGCAAGGCCCCGGTCACACTGGGGGAAAAGGTGCAGCTGAAGTGCGGCTTTTTTGAGTCACATCAAAAGAGAAGCGCAGTGGCGGGATCAGACAGATCCCCCGAGCCGCCGCACAGTTGCTCCCCGGCATGATCAGATGCCAGGGGGAAGCAACAGATTGGTGAGCGAGGCGAGCCTGCTGCGCATGTGTGCGCATGTGCAGTTCTACAGGGCCTCCGTATGCTGCAGGGAGATGGGCGCGTCGGCCATCAGACGCCGGCCCGTGCTGCGCATCAACAGGTAGGTAGTACTCTTTTGGGCCCTGGTCACACAGGAGGATTTGCCCCGTGGGAGGGACGGATAGGGGGCGCATCAAGAGGGCGCAATCATACCGCAACATCTGGGAAGTGGCGCGCCCCCGTCCCCAATCTATCCCTTCCAGCCGAAAACCTGACGCAAAAAGGTAGCACCAAAAGCCTAAGTCTTCCTGAGTGTATGACAATATCTTTTAGCCAGTCAGACAATTGGCTGATCTAGTCCTGTGCTGTCTACTCTGAGGGACAAACAAGAAGCAGACATGCACTGGAGAACTGCACATGTGCGCTCATGCGCAGCGGGCTCGCCTCGCTCACCGATCTGTTGCTTCCCCCGGCATCTGATCATGCCGGGGAGCAACTGCGCGGCGGCTCGGGGGATCTGTCTGATGCCGCCACCACGCTTCTCTTTTGATGTGGCTCAAAAAAGCTGCACTTCAGTCGCACCTTTTCCCCCAGTGTGACCAGGGCCTTGGTGCTACCTTTTTGCAGCGGGTTTTTGGCTGGAAGGGATGGATCAGGGACGGGTGCGTGCCGCTTCCTAGATGTTGCGGTATGATTGCACCTGCTTGATGCGCCCCCGATCCGTCCCTCCCGCGGGGCAAATCCTCCCGTGTGACTGGGGCCTAAGAAACAGAAAAGATGGATAGTTCCTGGGTTACAGCTAACACATTGATTGCTTTGGCACAAAGTCTTCCTGAGTGTATGATAATATCGTTTAGCCAGTCAGACAATTGGCTGGTCTAGTCCTGGGCTGTCTACTCTGAGGGACAAACAAGAAGCAGACATGCACTGGAGCTTCTGTTTCTGGAACTCCTAATAACTCTGTGCCAGCTTAATTCCCAGGCATGCAGGGGCTCGATTTGGCTGCTTGGGGAGAGAGGGCTTAATTCTTGCACCCATAGGTTTACGCCAGTGAGGCAAGCAGTGGCACTGTATGACTGTTTCAGATCAGAAAATGGTGTGGGAGAGAGGCTCAGGCCCCATCTCCCTGCTGTACTTTATGTCCCAGAATGCTTCTTCTGCAGTCACCTGCTTCAGGATGAGGTCAAACATCAGGATGAAACAATTCAAATTCATCTCATCATCATCACAGTCAAAGTCAATTGTTCTTCCTCCTCCTCCTCCTCCTCCTCCACCACCACCTCCTCCACCACCACCACCACCACCTCCTCCTCCTCCTCCAGGGTGCCCAAAGTTTTTGAATGGGCTGCGGAAGGGACTGCGCATGGAACTGCGGAATGGACTCTGAAACGGACTTGGGAATGGACTCAGAGTATTATGCTGAACCCTGCGTCCAGGATCAGAGGCAATGCTCACCTGGAAAAGTAAAAAGAATCTCTTTAAATGCAATCAAAACGCAAAGAACACTCACACACAAAATCGGTTCTTGCATCCCTAACTGATATAAAATAAACATAGGAATTCTGGATCAGAAACACAGGCAGTATGGTTGCCAACTGACAAAAAAAAACCCAGGATGACCTACTCCTCTCCCTGCAGAAATCAGCAAAGAACTTCACAGCATGGAGGTAAGAAATCATAAGCAGGTGGTAATGCCAAACATCAGAAACCAGTAAACAAAAAGATGGCAACAGTATTTAAAATATGTTTAAAAGGCCTGATAAAGTTTTTTAAAAGGGAACAGTTCTTGAACACACACTGGAATAGTTAGGTGCACCAAAATCATATTAAAATGAAAAGAACTGCTACTAAGGACATTTACTTAAAATTTAATTTCACTACTTTCAGCAGAGCCTATTTCTCAGGAGGTGCGTTCAGTATTACACTTTTACATGCTTAGCTGTGTATTCAGCCTCACTCATTTTCACAGTTAAACATACTTAGCTGGATCATGCCCATCATTTTAGGTAAGGATGTGCTTTCTCTCAGACTAAAACAACATGGATAATGCATTACCCTTCGAGCTGCAAGGTTCCCAGTTAGTTCACTGACTCTTGACTTCCTCTGATTTGCCAGCTCTTTCACAGAATTAACCCCATCCGAAAACATGCTGATCAGCAACTGAAGAGGAACCACAATGTCTAATTCAGATAACACCTGGAAAGAAGCCAGAGACATTCTCAGATCCATGGGGCCAACCAATACAATATAGACCCACAACTATATAGGCTGAGGTATGGAGACAGATCAGTGATAAGATACACGAGGTCCCAGGTTCCATCCCTGACATTTCCAGCTAAAGAATTTCAGGGCCAAGCCAGATGGGATGGCGTCCTCCCAGCCATCCATTCTATTGTTTCCATGCACTCATGCATGCACACAACACCACCTTATCAAGTGCTGAAATGGCTGAGCCGTCCCCTCATAGCTGTTTTGGCATTTGAAAAGGTGGGGGTGACAAGAGTGCCCTCACAGCATTTTTAAAGGACTTTAAAATGGCGGCAGCATTCTCATGGCATCCAAAAGGGAGCCATCGTGTTAGGGATGTTAGGGAAGACCTTTGGGGAAACCACTGCCAGTCAGAGCAGACAATATAGAGAAACGGACCGATAGTATCAAGCAGCTTCATATCATGAAGTGTGGAGACTACCATAAATCATGATATCATGAATATCTCCCGCCAATGGAGGAAAACTTTTTTGTTTTGTTTTGCATTTCCCCACTGAGCCTCTTTCCTGTTTGGCGTGTTGCGTATATCCTACTCTTTCCAACTAAGAAATATTTCAGACTAGACCAGTATAGGGCATAATATATAAAACAAACATCTTCATACTGTGCCCTGGTACCCAACAGAATCAGAACTGAGCACTAGAGCCCAAGTGCCAATACGACGCAGACTCACTGGCAGTCTTTAAGCAGAGGCTGGACAAACACTTGTCAGGGATGCTCTAGGCTGATCCTGCATTGAGGAGGGGGTTGGACTGGATGGCCTGTATGGCCCCTCCCAACTCTGAGATTCTAAGGTTCTAAGGAAATGCTCGACATCCTTGCTTGAATCATATGATCCAGTCTTTGCACATTTGTAGCTATGATCTAAAACAGAGACTTTCTAGCTCTCTGCTCACATGAATAGCCTTGACGATTTAGGGGTGGAAAGTTGGTCTTGCTAAAGCACAAAGCACAGCATAGCAAAAGCATAGCAATGGATTTACCAAGCCACTTAGGCTGATTCTGCATTGGCTTTTCCCTCCATTGTTTTATGAAACCCACATTGGAAGAGAAATTCCCCTCTGCATTGCATGCTGCTTTCACTTCCTATGATCATCGGATTTTATGGTAGCCTCCACACTCCATGCTGCTTTCACTTTCTTTGATCATCGGATTTTATTGTACCTTCTGCATAGATTTATGGCCATTCAAGGGTGACTTTGCAGTCAGTATGGCCTTGCCCCGAGGTATTTGAATGTGGTTTTGAGCTGAACTTTTCCCTCCCAGTTGAGAAAATGTGGAGCAAATGCTAGATGCAGAATTGCCCTTAGTCTCTGTTTGTGAAGGTGGCCCTAAAGGCCAGTTAGCATCGACAATTTCAGATTTTAAGCAGGTTTCAAACAACGGCAATAACCTCTGGAGGCTTTTACCCCTTTCAGGGCTGGAATTGCCTCTTCACAACACAGTGTAAAAGTGAACACTCACATGGAGCCAGAGTAAAGCTTGCTCTTGCACAGAAGAAGGATACCCTGTGAACCGACAACTTATGAAGCCAAACATCTCCTCCATGGAAAAGGGAAGTGGGCACAACTCGATGTCAAACATTTTGCTGCAATAGTCAAAGACGAAGGTAGATCACTAAGTACTTTTCACAAGTTTCAAGAAAGACAGAGCTCTTAATCCCTAAAGAATAGTATCTCTGCTATACCATATCCGAGGTCTACACCTACACAAGCCAAACATAGACTAGTCTGATGGATTTCATTTTTACGTAGCTTAATCCTGGTAACTCTTGCCAACCTAGCCGTTCGAAAGCAAGAAATTGCAAGAAGATAAATAGGTACCACTTCAGTGGGAAGGTAACAGCGTTCCGTGCGCCTTGGTGTTTAGTCATGCCGGCCACATGACCACGGAAATGTCTTCGGACAGCGCTGGCTCCTCGGCTTTGAAACGGAGATGAGCACCGCAACCCTAGAGTCGGACTCGACTGGCTTTCGAGCAAGGGAACCTTTACCTTTACCTTAATCCTGGTAAAGGCAATAATGCTAGGAAAAGCTGAAGGCAGTAGGAAAAGCAGAAGCCCCCACATGAGATGGATTGACTCAATAAAGGAATCCATGACCTTTGGTTTGCAAGACCTGAGCAAGGCTGTTATCGATAGGACTCTTTTGGTGGAGGTCATTAACTCATAGGGTCACCATAAATTAGAAGTGCCTTGACAGCATATAACATCTGCAGAGATCCTGCAGCTGTATTAATTGATCGTTGCAAATATGACAAATCTTGTGGCACATTAAAATCTAACCCTGGTGCAGGGTTTTTATTAGAGACATGAAGTGGACAGTGCAGTTGTTGCAAGTATATGAATTCATGGTTATGAATAAATATAAAATGACAGACACACTTGTAACACCTTGCTTATAAAAGTTCATGCCATTAAAAAAAAAACCTGTGAGTCTTTATAATGTACCAAAGCACTCTTTGTTGTCTTACCTATAATGAGCCCTGTGAAGATGTTTAGAATTCTATATATTGTACTGGCATAAGGAGAATGGGAGTATGCTCTATCTTCAGTGTCTGCAGTGAGCCTAGCATCCACACAACTGTATGTTCACAGCTCTGTGCACATGACAAAATGGAGGAACCTACATGCATGTGCTTCTACACTGGGATAACTCACAGCAGATGTCTGACTGAAGAAGCAGATGTCAGAAACAGTGACCCCCCAAGTGGCCACGATCTTGCTCCTCTCTACACAAGGACAAAGCATGCAATTTTTAAAATCTGCATGGAATACTAACATAGCTACTCATTTGGAATGTTTTTTATAAGCCAAAGGTTTTTGCTTTTTTAAAAAAAAATGGATCTGGTATTTTAATTTTAAGCCATTTTGAGCACTTGCTGATAAAACATGGTAGAAATTAAATGAAACGAACGCAAGTATATAGCCTGCAAGCCAAGCTCCTCTCCCTTTTCCAAAACAACATGCCACACTATGGTCTGCCATTAGGGAGTGAAATGGAGAAAGCTTGCATGGATCAGTTACAGTGCAAAGGTTTCAACAGCCTCCAAAAGGCTTTTTGCTGTATGGTATTATTCCTCTGTCAGTTTGACGACTGACATTCCAGCACCAGGGAGTCAGACGGGGAGCCAGTCCAGACCTGGACCTTGACAAATCCATTTTTGCTCCCCATTTGAACTTCCTGATATTTAAACCAGATGGATTTGAAATGTAAAGTCTTCCTTTTACAAAAGTTGTCGTTCTTTACTGGAGCTCAGGTAGAAAGATTGAAAAGTTCCCATCTGTTCTGACTTACCTTAAGACTTCCCTGAACTCCTTCAGCTGATTGTCTGGAACTTCAGTCCTGATGGCTTCTAGCCATTCTGGCATGATGCAATCCCACACAGGTTGGTTTATTACATTATACGGAATCAAGCACAGAATTCGATTCAGGCCTTCCTTTAACTGTGTCACGGTGCTACAGGACTTGTCCCAGTATCCACCCACCTGAGGGCAATTCCAGGAAAAATGGTTCATTTTCAATAGAATAAATCGAAACAACACTGCGTTACAATGACTCACTCATACATTTCATTCTCTCATTTCTCGAATCAAAATTCAAGCATAACTGGGAACGTCCAATATTTATACATCCGATTTTTGCCAAATGAGTGCATTGCTGCCACAGAAAAGACATGGCATGTCTTCTCACCCTTGCAAATTCCATCGGTTTAGGAAGGAGGCACATCACCATGACATCAAACCGAACGTCACACACTGTCTTCAGCCACTTGGTGACAAACTGGGGCTTGAGCTTCTCCACCAGGCTACCAACTTCATCGTCCATCATGTATGCTGTAGAATGGAACCACTGAAAGACCATGCTGACAAGCCGGGCCAAGCTCTCTGTGGGAGTGTTCTCACTAGGAGTGCAGAGGCTTACCTGGAAAACATGTTTGGTTCATGTGAAGAAATGCCTTTTTTTTCCTGGGAGGTTTGAAATGAGCAAAACCTCCATGCTGCATTTTATTTATTTTTGTCTCCCTCTGGGCAAAGACCAGGCAGGAGGGGGGTGGAGTCAGTTCAGTTGCTTCCCAGACGTACCTCAGTTCACATTCATGCAAAGGCTAATAGATCTAGCAGGAGAGACAGTGGGTGGGTCAAGCTCTTCCCCTTCTCCTGGCAGGGAGATATGGAGGAATGAAATGCTAGAGGCACTCCAGGAAGGAAATGTTTATATCCAGCATAAAAACTGCAGTTTAAAACTGCAGGGAGCGATGCGGGACATAAACCAATGAAATATCAAATTGACCACTAGGGGGAGCAAAACACATGTAAAACAGGGGAAAAACCTCAAAGCAGCAAGACAAGTGAGGAAAATGAGAATGCAAAAAAGCCATAGGTTGCTGAACTAGACAAACAACCGATCTGATTCAGTGAGGCGCTTTTTGTGTTCTTATAATACTCAGCACGGTGTGGAAGGGGAAAGAGACACCCCCACGGCCAAGAGTAGGTATGATCCATTCTCCTGGAGCCAATATATAAACCCACCAGCTTAACTAAAAGTTTTCTTTCTTTTGCAAGTATTTTTTAAAATAGCCAATATTGGTCTAGCTTTCCGTAAATAATCTTGTGCTGTAACGTGACGAGCGAAACCAACTTTTCTATTTATCTGTCCTGCCTTTCCCAGAAAATTGGAATGCTGTGTAATCTGATTTTAAGCATATCAAACTTTCCCCCCCTGGGATGTTAATAATCTGCTATTCTCACAGAGCTCAGCACTTTGACTCTCCAGTTTCATGACATGAATCTTGATATTCAGATACTAGAATGAATCAGAGTCAGCCAATGCCTCATGCTCCTTCATTCCTGACTTTGCTATTCCCATGGGCATAACCTTCCGATTTGTGTTACTAGGACTGTAATGATAAACACATTTACTGTCAGTAAGCCCTACTGAATACAGAAACTGCACTTACAAGTTAAACATGCATTGGATCAGGCCATGCAGCAAAAATGAAAGACAGCTTTCTGGAAATTTAAAGGTATTTTATTTATTTATTGTTTATATTTTGTTTATATTTGTTTATATTTATATCCCGCCTCTCCAGATATCTGACAGAGCCATCAATGCCTGTAGCCTATACATTGATTGTCCCAGTATGGTATACACAGATTTGGCAGGTTTTTCTAATGCTACTAGAACCTACAAAACATGTCTCACAAGGGAATGTCTTGAAAAACTACCATCTGTACACTATCAAACTCTTTTCTGTCCTGCTGCTCTAGTTCGCAGGGATCTCCAATAAATTCCACATATTTATTTAGAAAATGTATATGCTTCCTCTCTGAGGTTAGCTCTTTAAGGTCCTAGACTTGCTCAAGGTAGACCTAGTCCTAGACCTGCTAAAGGTAGCTCACAAATTAAAAAACAAAACAAAACAAAAATCATAAAAGCACAAAGTCATTACAATTATCAAACCATAAAAACCCAGCCATTAAGAAGCCAACCAGAATGTTAAATATTTAGCAGCCTAAAATGATCCTCATAAAACTGTCCTCAATCAAACTAGAAGCAGACTGTAAAAAACAATTTTAAAAGACTGAACCCCTAAATTAAAAGCCTGGCACCTAGAAGAGAGTAAGGTAGGAACCAGACAAGCCTCAAAGTGGAGGAGATTCCAAAGGTGAGGTGCCACCACTGAAAAAGCCCTGTATCTGTTTTCTGCACTCCTCACCTCTGCAGGTGGGGCCACAGAGAGCAAGAACTGGAAGGTAGATCTTAAATGACAGGCTGGGCAGCATGGTCCTTCAAAATACTCAGATATAATGAGAAGGTCCTTCAAAATACTCAGATATAATGAGAAGGTCTGTAGAACTGAAAGAAGAGGGGGGAAAGAGAAATGAGAAACAGCCAAGCATGCTTACCAAGAACCAAATTCCAAACTGGCTCAGGAGGCGCTGGTCATGCTTGTCATCGTCTTTGTTATCAAAGTCAGTGTTGTCCAATGAATGATGTGAAGAGGAGAGGCCCAGTTGCCTCCTGCGGTTGAGTTCATACTCTCTCTGTTCCGCATGGAACTCCGCCTCTTTCAACAAGCTATAAAACAAAAGCAAGGACAATCTATGAATTCACAGTCCCATCTATCCATTTGTGGGCCTTTTTGTCAAGCCTTTCTGTCATTACAGCAAACCTGAGAGGTGATTTAGACTGAGAGGGTGACTGATCTAAGCTCACACACTGAGCTTTAAGCTCAGTGGATTTGAACCCAGCTTTCTCAGATCCTAGTCCAACACTCTAACCTGCAACATTATTGAACCTGTGGGTACTTATAGAATTTTAAGAACACGTAGTGGGCATACGGGCCCTGGACCCTCCTGGCCTGGACCCACCCCCATCCCCTGCTGCCACTTAACAGGCCAGCGGGAGGAAATGGGAGGTCTTCAGCAACACACCAATGTGCAATATCACTTCTGGCATAAAGAAGTGATATCACTGTGTAAGTGCAACACTCTAGGATTTACTCAAAACTCTGTGATTTTGAGTGAATTCTAGAGTATCACTTCCATTTACTCACAGAAGTTACAAATTCAAATTTCCTCTTCTTAGGAGGCATTATTAAGAAAGGGGCCTCAAGTTATTGGTTCACTTGTAGTTAAAATATTGTTAAAAGGAGTACATAACTAACCTGGATAGCATAGGCTAGCCGGATCTCGTCAGATCTTGGAAGCTAAGCAGGGTTGGCCCTAGGGTTCTCAAATCATTTTTTTCACCACAGCGAGGGACTCCCGGCTTGTGGCTGGAGCGCGCGCCGCATCCACATCACCTGGAAGTGACGCGGGCATGCTGGGCACGCTGGGGGCGGGGGCATGACCATCCGAGGGAAAACCATAGAGTTTTCCCTCGGATGACCGTGGCCCCGCCCCCAGCGTGCCTGGCATGGTTGTATCACTTCCGGGTGACGTGCATGTCGGGGTGGAGTTCCCCCCGGGGCCCGATCCGCCGGCGGCGGGGAACGGGCCTCTGGGGTGGGGATTTCCTCGCCCCCTGGGGGGACTTGGCAAGCCTAGTTGGCCCTGACTTGTATTTGTACCAGGGTCGTGACACGTAGGCAGGCCATGGTACACCACCTCTGAATGTCTCTTGCCTTGAAAGGCCCTACAGGGTCACCATAAGTTAGCTGTGACTTGACAGCAAAAATCCCCAACTCTTTATCCTGTGAGTCAGTCTGGTCAGAAGCAGGAAAGAGGGCCTGGATTGGAACTTGCATGGGAGAAACTGCTAATTTCTCTGCAGGCCCAAATTAAAGATAAAGCATCCAGCACTTAGCAGCAACAGAAGAGGAAATAAATATTCTGGATTTCCTTTTCTTTGTTTTACTGGGTGCCACATGTAGGATTGGCCCCTGTTCAGAAAACCCTTTTTGAAGGGTGCTGAAGATCCTGTATTTACACAGTTTGTTACGTTCACAGCACTAGTGTCTCTAGTATACATGTGGTTGCTAAGCTGTTATATTTCAAGTTTATGATGAATTATGTTATTTTGGAAAATGTACTGTCTTGGATATCATCTTGAAGAAATTTAAGAATTGCCTGACAAACCACAAAGAATGCTGTCATTTCTTGACTTGAACCATTTCCAATTCTCCACTTAAAGGAATTTAGGAGAGGGGTTTATTTAGCCAAGGTTCTGCTGAGTTACACAAGCACAGCTGTGCCAATTGCACATAAAATATGTGCCGGCTTTGATATGTACCTGCAGAACAGCCATTTTGACAGCTCCACATGAGGCAGAAATAGGTTTCAGGTAACAGCAACAGAAAATAATTCCAGATACATTCCTCTGGAACGCAGTGGAAAAGAAGGAACTCTAGATCTGACACTGCTAATCTAAGGCTGCGGTCACACGGAACAGTAGCCACACAAGTGAGACGGAAGACAGGCGGAGTTTCCGGGCGCGATCTCACCAGCACATCTGGGAAGCGTAGCACTCCCGTGGCTCAACCGAGGCTTCCCGCTGAAACTGCGTGGCAAAAAACTAGTACCTCGGAGGTACTAGTTTCCGGAAACTGCGGGGCAAGGGTGGGCGTCTGATCGCATTTCCGGTGGCATCCGGCGCCCGCCCATGTCCCCTTGCAAATAAAGGGGTTTTTTTCCCCCAAGTCTCTGTGGATGCGCTCACGCACCCAACGGAGCATGCGCATTTGTCGTGTACAGAAAAAAAGACAACCAGTTTGCCGCGCTGCATGCTTCTTCGTTGCGCGCCGGCTTGTCCTGTGATCAGCACCTCTCCCTTCCCACGGAACCTCCACGGTACCTCCACAGGACCTCCACGGGAGGTCTGATCGAGTAACCGCGCGGTAGTTTGCCCCGGGGCAAACAGCCACACTTCTCCCCCCCCCCCGCAGTTTCCTGCCCGTGTGACAGGGGCTTTCATGAACTAGACTATGGCTGCGGTCACATGAGCAGTCTGTGGCACTATGGTAGCATTACCTGAGCAGAATAAATGGGCCCCTCCGAACAAGAACATCTGCCTCCCATGGCGCAGTCGTCTGCAAGCCATGCTATTCCGCAATGGAAGCGGAATAAACAGATACCAGAGAAAGTCTGGTATTATTGGGTTGTTCGAGGTTCCCTCCAGGTTTTCCGATGGCTGAACTCTCTTGTAGTGAAAGGAACCCAGAAGGGATGTCTGAACCTGCAGATCCATTTCCACCGCTGGGTTTGAGTTTTTTTAGTTTTTACCTATAAGCGCATGAGCACATGAGCACATATGCGCATGCACCCACCTGCATTTTTTTAAAAAAACAACTGGGCAGCACGCTCCATGGCTGAGGCGCTGCAGTAATGCGGATGCTTGACCATGGGATGGTCGCGTGGGTAACCCATAGCAGGGTGTGCTGTCCAGATGATATGCCCTGTAACATTTTAAAGGTAAAGGTTCCCTTGCTCGAAAGCCAGCCGAGTCCGACTCTAGGGTTGCGGTGCTCATCTCCATTTCAAAGCCGAAGAGCCAGCGCTGTCCAAAGACGTTTCCGTGGTCATGTGGCCGGCATGACTAAACACCAAGGCGCACGGAACGCTGTTACCTTCCCACCGAAGTGGTCCCTATTTATCTACTTGCAATGTCTTGCTTTTGAACTGCTAGGTTGGCAGGAGCTGGAACTAGAGACGGGAGCTCACTCCGTCATGTGGCACCTGGGTCTCGAACTGCTGAACTATCGACCTTCCATAGCCTGCAGTTCAGCGTCTTAACCTTAAACCAGTACAATTAGAGGTGCCACCATACAATGCCAAGCCACCAGTGTGACTGCAGCCTATGTCCTTCTCTACTTATTCTGTATCATCTAAATAGCACAGTGAAAGGGAAAAAAAAGTGGATCATTTTTATCCCCCCCCCCCCCCGTCCTTTGTAGATTGCAAATGCTGGGGCTGCCATTTCGATGGAGAGGCTTTTTGAACTTTCACATATGCCATTTTCTCCCCCATCCCCAAATCACCGCCTCTAAGCTTCTAGGGAGATATTGCAGAATTGTGATTAAGAAAGTGAGCTGTGATCCCAGACTTCAAACTGGGGAGAGCCATGGCTGAGAACCGACTGAGTTGCTGCCAGTTCAGCTGAACAGTATCAAACAAACAGCGGTCTGAGGCAGCGGTCTGTTCACGTGAGCTTTTATCCCTGCTGGGAGGGTGTATTTTCCCCTAGTGGCAGCAAAAACAAGTTGAAGGTGGTGCTGGGGGTGGGGAGAGAACAGTACGGGGGGAGGGTTAAAAAGCCCCATTCCCTCCATGGAAATTGCAGTCTCAGCAGCTACAATCTGCAAAAAGGGGGAATCTTTTCTAATGATTACACAACTGCATGGAACCCTAAGTGGAGAATTGATGTGGCATGATGGACAAAGAGGTGGACTTTGCTGGGGGAGGCCTAGGCTCAAATCCCCACGCAGCTTTGATGTTCACTGGGTGACTCTGGGCTGATCATCACTTTGTTTCACTTCTTCCCAACCCAGGCTCACTGTATCCCATTAAAAGAGGGCAAACGCATATGTGTGGTGCCCCGAGTTCTTTGCAAGAAGGATGGAATAGAGGTAGGATCAATGTAGTGTGAGAACAAGCTGTGCTCTGACAGGTCCCTCTATGGTTTGAAGCTGGTTTTACCATAGAGTTTTGCCCTCAAACCAGAGTGTCGCCACGCAATGTCCCCAGAGTGATTGTGTCACTTTTAGGTGATGTCATTGCATCGAGGACATCCCAGAATGCCCCCCAAATCCCCCCACCAGCGCAGTGAGGGGCCCTGGAACCCTACTAATAACTTCCACGCAGAACTCAGATTTCTCATTCTACAGTGCCTCACTCAAGCTCCTTACTCCATGCACACACACCTGCATGCGCACATGCACACACTCACAGAGCTCTGGCACTCTCTCTCACAAAGTCTCTCTCTGAACCACTCAATCAACTTCACCCCCTAGGGTACAACTACCATCCAATCATAACATACTTCACTCACCCATCCAGCACCCCTTCTTACTCTACAAGCCTACATTTTAGATCACACCCATATACTTTTAAAACATCGAAATAAAACACACAAACAGTATTTAAATGGCAAAACACCACATTTGGTTTTCTGTTTCAAAATATTGCCTGAAGTACAAAATGAAGCCAATGAAACAACGTTTAGGTGCCAAGCCTAATTTCAGTGAGTTTTTAAAATGCAAATATGTGTTTGAAAATGAAATGGCTAAAATATATAGCTTTCAGGGCTTCATCCAACCATTTCAGTGCCAGTTCCTCATATCCCAAGAACATCAGAAGGGTCTCAGAAAATTAACCTCTGCATACAAAACAATTTTTACCTAAATGGAACATGCATGAAGGGGAGATGGGAGAACACGACTCATTTCTGTGCATTAATTTGTCTTCAGTGGATTACCTGATGACAGCTTCCACAGTACAAACAAGCTCCTCAGCCCCACACTCCCGAGTGTTAATGGGGGGAGGTGACGTCTGATAGAGGTGAGTCTCAGCAGTTGCCCCAACTTCGCTGCTATGATGGTTTGAGTGGCATCGTTTACAATAGCGCACTGGCCTGTTCCCATGGCGACCACAGCAGCCAGCCGAGAAGCAAGTAACAACGGCCCTCCTCACATGCGAGCTACAGTTCTGGAAAGAAATACATATAATTAAGCCATGGATGGATGGAAGGAGGAATCCATGAATTAACACTCAAAGAATTAACCACAAACAAATAATTCATTCCTTCAGAATAGGTTTGAAGGCAGCTGGTAGAAGGACCAGAGGGTGCGTGGAAGCAGAGTATAAAAGCTGGGTCAACAGGAAAATTAGTGGTTGCCATTCAGTTCAAGTCAGGTTCAACAGTTAAAAAACCAGACTCCATATTTGTGCTTGTTGACACATTCTGCTCCTTCTGTTTTGACCTCTTTTCATGATAAAAGGGCTGTGAAATGAGATGGATGACATACATTCAGACATTCAAGATCTGCAAACAGATCTGCCAGCTCTTCAAGTTTCTATTAATAGCAGCCACTGAGTGAAAATGATTGGATAAGGACAGAGGGAGGCAGGAGATTAACTCATTTCTCCCAGCACTGTTTTCCTCAGGTCTTCCCTCCACATGCCACCATATGTATTCTTCCATATACTGATAGCAGTTTAAAGAGATGGGAGGTCCAATCTGCCTTGCTGGCCCCAATGTACTTGTAGCTTGACTTTCAGTCTTCTGCTTTAGTTCCACCATCCAAATCTGAGCCTTAGTCCTATGACTTTACCTGAGCTGCCTCATTTGTCTTTTCACAGGAGGGCCACACCTTGCTAGGGACAGAGTGACAACTCCCAAAGCGTACAAAGGTATTGAAGAAATTGCAGTTTGAGGAAATTAGAGGAAATTACTCTTCTTCAGAGGGAAATGGTGAATAGAAATCACGAAAGAAAAAGAATGTTTCTTTCCCAGGAACATGAGGGTTTTTTTCTGGTCTGAAATTATCATAAGAACATAAGAGAAACCAATTTTGGATCAGGCCAATGGCCCATCCAGTCCAACACTCTGTCTCTATCCTAATACTCTGTCTCTATCCTTGAAATCTGCCTTCATTTCTACAGATCTTGTGTAAAAGTAATCATGTCTAAAGTGCACTCATACTGAAGTGTACAGAGTCAAATCAGTGACAACACTTAAAACTGTATGCTGAATATCCACCCCAAACAGTCAAAAGAACTACAACATCCACATATTCCAGCAATGTTCAACAAATTCTCCTTCTAAAGAATCATAACTTCTCAGCTGCTGCAGTGATGAACACAAAGATGGAAAATTTTGCACGGCACATGACAATGAGATGGAATTACAGACAAAAATTCTGAATGATGATGTTCCATCACACATGTGGAGCAGTCTTACCTTCTTTTGACATATAGCAGAAATTTCAGCTGTAAGGGGAAGGTAAATGGAATATAAAGCTGTTAAGATCACTCCTGTATTGTAGGTATTAGATGGATTTATCTGGAGGGGGCTTTTTAAAAGTGTGAAAGAAAATGTAATTCTAGGATGGTGAGACTGTCTGACTGCTGGATCTTCTTTGTTCAGCAAAACAGGAGTACTGCTATAAACAGAGGTCCTTTCATATCTGAGGTCTTGTAAAATAAGACACCGATATGTAGGTACATCTTTGAAGCTAAGCAAATTTGTGTTTCGCGAGAATCTGGATGAAAATTGGGTTCCTGTAGAAGACACGTAGCAACAGTTCCCTGCTTCTCATTTGCATGGAAATGTTGAATGTTGCTAACTTGATGAGCTTGGTCAAGAAGCTAGAGAATTCAACAGAGGAATATGGGCCATAGTTACATTCAGGATATATGTGAGGTAGGAAGGCTTTCACTCTAACCTGGATGGCCCAGGATAGCCTGATCTTGTGAGGTTTTGGAAGCTAAGCTGGGTCAGCCCTGGTTACTACTTGAATGGGAGACCACCAAGGAAGTCATCTAGGGTTGCTTGGAAAGCCAAGCAATGGCAAACTCCTGTGAATGTGTCTTGCCTTGAAAACTCTACAGGGTCACCATAAGTTGGCTGTGACTTGACAGCACTTTTCACACATATACACACACAAACACACAGGGAAGTTTGCACAAGTAGACTACACTGAATAGTTTCAAGAACAGAGATGCAACCAAATCTGATTTTTCTATCTAACCATCAGTAAATCGGCAAGTCCATCACCAGAGGAAATCTACTAAATGGGCAACTGGGGATCACCACAACACAAATAATAACACATTAAAATATTTTTTTTGGATATACATTATGAAAACAATAAAACTGGTGCCACAGTGTTATGATTTTCCTTAAAACCCAGCATAGTTTGTTCACAAAGAATCACAGACACAAACACACAGAGGCAGTCACTATATTGATTCTCTGGAAAAGTTATAATTTTAGGTTTTCCTTCAATAACTACTGTTCAGTCATCATTTTTCCTTAACAACTGTAGGCAGTCAATTTTTGTGAAAGGCTCCACAAGGGTTTCAATAGTATAATGCCAATTTCCGGAAACTCCTTGAGTTGGAACTTGGACCCCACACCAAATCCCTGCTGACAAAAGGGATTTCTCTTGGTGAAGCAGGGTTTCCCTATTCCATCCCATAGCAGCCCAAAATGACCCCCTGAAATCCCACTCCTGGGGAATAGGGGACCCTCAGAAAGAGCATTGGGAGGGAACTGGAGGTATGCTAGAGGAGGGGGGGATTGACAAAAATTAGCCTCCCTTCCATCCATGGAAATTTCCCTTGGATCAAGCCCCTTATTTGCTTATTGTGCCGATTGAGCACTGCAGTTTTCTGGGGACCTATATTCACCCGATATGAGGCACGGGGTTTGTTGTTACTGTGTATTATGCCATCTATTGTTTTATTGTTTTTAATTGTTCTATGGATTTTATGTTGTAAGCTGCCCTGAGCCCACTTGTGGGATAGGGCAGGGTATGAACTAAATAACTAACTAATCTTCATCATCATCATCCTCACCCTTTTTGTCCTAAATACAGAACTGACCAGTGTGCACTTCTTGCTCAGTGCTCTATTTCATATTTATATGTTTTTCCCATCGTCCTCACTTTTCCTGTTCTGATTACTCTTATGGGGTTGGGTCCTACCAGTTTTTCCACTGGTGGATGAGGGTGGAGGGGCTCCTTTTGAACCCCACAAAGCTATGTTGGGAGATCATGGGACATGCATAGACACCAAACCATGAGGTGCTGGTATAAGGACTGAAGCCCTTTGTCATTGGGGATCTGTGTCTATTCGATAGATGGGGAAGAGACAAGATGGCATCAACTGTTCCCATAGCCAATTTCCACATGTTAATACAGAGGTCTGAACAGATGGTTTGGATCCACCAAAGCCTTTCTAAAGACAACAGAGTTTCTGTCCTCGGGGCATGATTTTTTCATCTCTCCCCTCCTGCTGCAACCCAAATTACCCCATGAAATTCTGCTTCTGTGAGATAGCTCCTCTTCAGTCAAAAGTTTCAAGGGTGTTTGGGGTGCTAATAGGAGGGAGGGAGGGACAAAGTCCTATTCTGAGGTCAGAAATCTTTCTTTCCATGGACACACCAGAGAATCTAACCTGGTATGTGCCATAGACACTGGGCTTTACAGATTTCTCAAGTAGACAAGAGAATCTAGAAGAACAGGCTCTGTTCATACCTCTCCTGCAATGCATGTAAGTCAGGGACTGGAATAGTAGGTGTGACTGCATATTGACTCTGAACAGCTGAGTGATACAGAGTATCAAAATTCAGAGGAACACTTTGAATTCTGACCTCCAAGGAATACCAGGGCTGAGATGCAGAGGCAGGCAATCAAGCCACCTCTCTGAAACGTCCAAGCACCACTAGGGGTTGCCAGGAGTCAACCATGACCTCCAGGCATACACACACAGAGAGAGAGAGAGAGAATACTCACCAAAAAATGTATTTCACACAGCACACTTCTAGTTCTCTTGCGGCACCTGATCATGCCCTAGGAATTACTGATATATTGGGTTGGGTTGAATGACCTTTGAGCACCCTTATAATCCCTCAATTCTATGATTCTATAAACACCCTTATGATGGTATAGTCAATATTATTCATTATCCATTTTTAAATTAAGTCTTACCTTGTGGCAATAGAACATCAATCAACCATTCACTGTGATCCCTTAAAAGGAAAAAAAAGAATCAGAGTAGTTTGTGATGTTTTTGTTCTGTTTTTTCACCCCAAATGAAACAGCCATGTTTTAATTGTACAGGGTGGGTTCCTTATTATAATTATGTAGAGCTTTTTATTGGATTGTGTTAATTAGCCCTCTTTGTTGCATGGTGTTTATTGCTAATTGCTGTTGTGCTGATGTCACGTTTGCCCCGTCCTCGGCTTTTGTGAGTTACGCCGAAGATTCTAATTGTGCAGATGAAAAAATACAGTGCATTCTGGCTATGCTCAGATGGGAAAAGGTGAAAGACAAACACTAAAAGAGAATGAACAGCTCCAATATCAAAAGGCACACTACCTCTGTTGAGAAGCCAGACTTCCTACCAAATTGAATTATTTGTGCTTCAGGTTTAAATCAAAAATGACTTCAACACCAAGGTGACTTCTATCAAATTAAATTACCTTCCTCTGCAAGTGGTGTCACTGTGGTGCCAAAACAGTTATCAAGCAGGAAGCCAGTATAAGGAGGATAGCTTCTGGCCTACAGTTTCAGTGGACTGAGTTCGCTTTCATTTGCAAGCTGTTTGAGCAAGCTGTTGATATTGACTGGGTTTCTGTAGCAAAGGTGCCCTTTGGCTCTTGGAGGAATCTTCTGTCCCTGGAAGGTGACCTTCTGGGAATGGAAGAGTCTTCCATGAGCTGTCACCCATTGTCACTTTTGTTTTTGTTTTGGTGGGAGGAATCTTCCATTAATGGAAGACTCCTACGAACAGAAGAAACTAAAAAGGACAATAAGAAAAACACTGCTTTTCTTTTTTTAAAAAAAAATGCAAATAGCAGCTGTTGGCAATCCAAATGTGGATTGGGGTCCAGGGATGTGGGGAGTGGTCTTAGCCTTTCCCATACACATCCTTTTGCAGTCTCTCCCTGGAGAAACAGAAACCTTAGGGAGGCTGAAATGTTCTTAGGTTCTAATTCTGAACTAATTGGAAATCCACAGTGTGGTCTGGTGGGTAAATTGAAAGACAAAGATCATATCTCTAGACCTCATTTCTCTGAGACTTGCATAATTTCATTTGAGCAGGACTTTTGTTTGATTATTACTAGATTAAGTTCTACACTTTTAAGTTCTACTTTAAAAGTACATGATTCCTAAATTCTTGATAGGTTTTATATTTTTGGATTTGGCCTCTCATAATCTACCCACCCTGCAATCCTCTGGCTGCATTCTTCACAAAGGTAGAGAGGGGGTGGTTTATCACCCAAAGCCACAGACAAGGAAGGATCTATGCACATCTGAAACACACAGGAAGGATAGAATCAGTTTCTCTCTCCAAAAAAGGCATTCCAGTCAACGAATCTTCTAAACCTCATTAGCTGATGATCCCCTGCATAGACAGAACAGAATCTGTGTTTATGGGCTTTGGACTTCCCCAGGTGGACCTACCAGCTTTGTCAGTGCTTGGGTATAGGAAAGGATAATCAGGGGCGAGTGAAGCAGAGGAAGGGAGACTCTGTGTGCTAGAGTCGCCCACAACTTGGAAAAAGGAAATTGTTCTGTCCCCATAACAGAGACTTTACGGGATGTTATTTAGCAGATTATATTATTTGCCTCCATACCATGGAGAGCTTCGCCTGCCTATTTCCACACATTAAACCTCGATTAAAGGGACAGAACATTCTTCTCCAGGGCTACTGGCAGGCCTCACATATTGCTCCTGAACTCCTGTGAGAAAGGGCAGGATAGAACCTGAGATAAAGTGTTGAAAGTTTGTTTGGATTATAGTTGCTGGGAATACATTAATCGCAGGAAAAGAGGTAATGTGATCATCTCTCATGTAACCGTTTTGGTTGGTGGGAACATGTTCAGTTTCACTAAATCCATGTCTGTGGAAAAACCGGCATGCCAAAATGAGTTGGATTCATATGCAAACAAGCTTGGGCTACACAAGCTGGAAAACACTATTTGGTACAATTTCATGTGATCTGCTTGCAATTAGAACTGAATATTGGAAGCTAGTGACTGGGTGGAAGGGAAGCACACAAAATTTTTAAGCTGCATCACTCACGGGAGAACTGCCCATTGCAGGAGATGAGGTACCTCAAAAAAATGGAATTCCCATGTCAAATCCTCTCCTGCCCCGTATCCTGTAACATTACATACCCTGTGTCATGACATCCTCACATTGTGTGTTCCCCCCTGCTCTGCAACACTGACTGGCAGGGATGAGCAAACATACAACATCATGATATCAGAGCACAGAATAAGTGGAGAAAGCTTGGCACAGGGATGCCACCTTTGGTTATAGCTCTATGCCTTTCAAAATGGTAGTTTTACTCTCAGTCTTAGCTCAAGTATTACCCACTTAATCCTGAACTGCTTAACTGCTAAGTGTTCTTGAACCTGAGCACAACACAGTCCTCACCGCTTTACATGCAATGCAATGTACTGTTTACAATTGTCCGACAGCCCAACTATATAGTTGAAGGATGAGCAAAATTGTCCTGAAGATAATATAGATAATGAGACAAAGATAATGAGTTGGGGTTGGAACACAATGGGAAATAAACAGGCAGAAATACCCTAAGTATAAAGACCAATTTGGTATTCTTTTTCTTGATCACACTTAGGCTGCGGTCACATAATATAGTAGTGTTACCTTTGCGGATTTAAAGAGCACGATCAGACAGCAACATCTGCCTTCCATGCCCCAGTCATCTGCACCCTGTGTTGCCCCGCTTTGGAAGCAGAGTAATCAGGCACTGGGGAACATCCAGTGTTTATGGATGCCTGGCACTTCCACTCAGCTTTCCCAGATATCTGAACTCTCCTGCCACAAAAGGAAACCGGAAGTGCAGTCTGAACCCACAGATCTGTTTCTGCTGCTGTTTTTTTTAGTTGCTGCCTATATGCGCATGCCCCCGCCTGCATTAAACCAAAAATGACTGGGCTGTGCACTCCATGGTTGAGGTGCTGAAGTAATGTGAATGCCTGACCACCAGACAAGCATGTGAGGAAACCGCCCCAGGGAGTGCTGTCTGGTTGGTCTACCCCACAACACTTTAAACCGGTGTTATTAGAAGTGTGCCCAGATTGTGGCAAACCTCCAGTGTGACCACAGCCTTTGTGTCTTTTGTAATAATGCCTCTGGTCTTCTAACAGTGCCATTCTAAGAAGATTTTCTGAACCTGGCCTCCATGTGGATATAAAAATCCATACAATGGGGCCAGGTTCAGATGGGGGCATTCTTCTGCAGATCTACAGAGACCCCTCAGGTTTGCAGAAAAATATTAAGTTTAAAAAATGAGGGGGGTGGTTAATCCTGTTGTCTGTGCTTGTGCCAAAAGAAGTGCCCTGTGGGCCAGAAGTGGGGGGGGGGAGGAAGAGGAAGCCGGAGCAGCTGCAACGTGAATCTGGCAGCGGGGAAAACAATGTGTGCATAATTTTAGCAAGGTTTTTAGGATCAGAAGGTGAACTATGATGATGAAATAGAAAGACCATGTTCAGAAGCCATATAGCAGGGGGACACTTTGGTCTCTGTGCTCTGTGTTCAGGACACATGATAGGCCAAGGTGGGAAACTGGATGCTGGATTAGATGGGCCACTAATCTGGCCAAGCAAGGTATTCTTCCTACCTAAGAGGGTGATATAGAGAAAGGCTTTCCTTTCTAACTCTGAAAGAAGAACTGCCTTGTAATTCTTGAGACTATTTGAATATAATTATCAGTAGAATAGTTCTTCAGTGGGCAAACTCTAAGGGGTGCAAATATGTCCATTACCTTCACTGCTGGCTTGTTAATGGCATTATGGCATTCAATGTGCTGACAGTGTATGGGATTCCATGCTGAAAAACAAAACCACCACTAATAAACACATAAGCAAATGAACAGCTAAATATGGATTAGATACAGCAGTGAGGGATGATCCTCTGTAGCAATTAACATGGCAAGCTCTGGGGCTCAAGTTCTGGTCTTCAACTCCAGCTGGATTTGAAATGTTTTTGATCTCTTATTCTGATATCAGCTCAGCATCAGCATTTATACAGCTGTAGCTCAGAGCCAGCATGTGCTGGCTGAGCATTAAGGGTGCAATTTCAGTGTTCAACAACTTCAGTTAAATCCAGATCTCAAGCAGCCCAGCTGGCAAACAACCCTGCCTGAGAATTTAGAGCACCACTAACTACTGAGCTAGATTGTAATGACAGTCCATATTATAAGTGCAGAAAGTCTTGGACATCCCAGCAGAGTAATTCTGCATATATATATTTATAGAAATATAGAGAAATTTAAAGATATTTCTAATGGCTAATTCACACATGCAAATTCATCATAGTATCTGCAGCTTTGAATGATGACTTGCACAAGTCAAAGAGCCACTGCAAATAAAGACAAACAAAGGGTAAAAAAAGAACCCCAGCATCACAGTTTGATTGACAGTCATATATACTGAAGCATCAAATGCTGGTTTCAGCCATCAATCCTGTCCCCACCCCTTGCCTCCGGTGAGCAGTCTACCTTTTAAAAAATTTAAGCAGGGTACATTTAGTGATTCATTCATTGCTTTATTGCTCAAAAATGTGTTTTTAAAAAAATGAAGTACAAAATTGTTTTGTAGATTAGGGGTAGGTTTCTTGACAGTATGGACACCAGCCAATCGGTGCCACCCATACCCAACTTTTTGCACTAAATTATTTTCCCCCCCATAGTTCAATCCTGGAAAGGAAAGGCACATTTGGACTGAGCACAGTGGGGGAGCTTCCAAACTGACCCAACCACTGTAAAACTTTTACACCTGTCTTCATCCACAGGTCAAACTATGTGCAGAACTTTTGTTAACACCTCCCAACATCATGCTCAGCAGTGATGTCAGTTCACACATTCAGCACTGAGGAATCAAATAACCTATGAACATGTCTAAACCAGCCCTAAATGACAGCAAGAGAGAATGGAGAGAAGGTGAGAAAGAAGAGTTTCTTTTTCCACTGGTCTGGGAAGAAAAAAGTCCCCCCCCCCCACTTAGGGAGGTATAAGCAAGGAATTAGCACAGTTGGCAGATTGACAGGTTCTGTGGCTGATGCTGGAGAATGCACCCATTTCATTATAGAATCATAGAATTCAAAGGCACCCAATGGGTCACCTAGTCCAACCCTCTGCCCTAAGAGAGGATCCCCTCTCTAACTGAAGCATTCCTGACAGATACAAGTTGAAAACCAAACTGAAGGGCATTCCACATTTTGCCTTGGCAAACTCTCCCAAAGCTGAACTCATTTCAAAGTTAAGAAGCTGGAAACTGTTGTCACCTTGGTTGCGCCTTTTGCCGGGGGCAAGCATATTAACAGAGAACCACTCTATGCCTTGTAATCACTTACTATATGATGCTGAAAAAACAAGGTACATTAGAAACCATTGCTCAGGTGGGAAACGCTACAGAACTTTCCACAAGTCATTAGCCTCTGCTATTAGCATGCAGCTAGATCGTGCTTCACTGACCTGTGTACTGTAGGCCTCGGTATTCACTTATTGCCCCTGGAGGTTTTAGGTTGGGCCAGTAGTGGAAAAGCATTTGTACCGCAGGAGGTTTTACTTGAGAGGGGCCATATGCAATTACGTACAGCAAATCCTAAAACAAAAGCAGGAGCAGCAAGGTCAATTTCAGAAGGTGTCAGTGTCCTCGGGAGAAGCAGAGAGAGCATAGAAAAAACTGTTTAAGCAGAATATAAGACAAGCACTTCCTATAAGACAAGCACTTCCGTCACTGAAAGCTCTGGCAAAATCCTAAGTGCATTCATGTACATTCCAGTGATATTTATTTCTTAAAATATTTATATACTGCTTTTGGGTCCTTAAGACCTCTAAGGCAGCGGGCAGAATACCATTATTTTAAAATAAACCAAAATCACTTACTATCCAATCTACAACCAGATAAGAAAAATTAAACATTTTGAAATATGTTTTTAAAATGCGAAAATTGACAGTAGAATATTCTCAGAACCCAAAGCACATACATCAGCAAACATTTCATCAGGGAAGCAAATGTTCCTACTTCAGAGTAATTTTCTTTTAAACACAGTAGTCCTCACCAGTTAATGAAAAGCTAACAGAAATGGTATCAAATGAGCCTGATGAAGGGGAGTATTCCATAGCATCAGTGCCAACACCAAGAAGTCCCTGTCATATCCCCCCCCCTCCATCACCACCAAATGGTGGTGGGACACAGAGCAATGCCTCTCCAGAAAACTTCACTGAGTGGGCAGGCTCATATTTGTAATCCACGAGTCTCAGTAAGAAAGACATACTAAAAATCAATCAATATTCAAGCAAGCAGCCTTTGAGGTACCTCACATGCACTTAAGGAAATTGCGCCCTTGTATGTGTGTATTAGCAAGTGCGTCCTGTTTTAAAGATTGAATCAATATTATTTCTTCCCTGCTTTCAAATGGCTTGATGTACTTCTGAAACCAGAACCAGAGACTGGGGGGAAGGGGGGGGGGCTAATGTACAGCTGAAATTTGTAAGGTCATACTTCAATACAAAATATAACTCAGACTCAGACATGCAAATTGTTGCCACTATTTTGAAGTGACACCTCAAGTGATCTCAATTTTCAAATAAAGAACTGTTTGTGTAACTGTTCCACAAAATATACTGGGCCACAAACTTACTTTCCACACTTCTTGTTTGTACTTCATAAGGCATTCCAGTAACTGACAGTGATACACTAGATGGAAAAAACACAATGGAGACAGACCGGTTGAAATGCAAAATCAAAGAAAAGAAAAGTTTTGTATCATTTTTATTGGTTTAATTGAGATCCGTCGGGCAAACCAATGCCAATGCAGCAAAAGTGCCAAAACAACAATAGTGTTTCTTTTAAGCCATTCTTCATTCTGATAGTACATAAGAACATAAGAGAAGCCATGTCAGACCAGGCCAGTGGCCCATCCAGTCCAACACTCTGTGTCACAGTGTCAAAAAACCAGGTGGTCCCAGAAATATTACAGTCACCATATCTAGAATCTGGAAGCCAGCTCAGAATGTTCCTCAAGGACACATGGTATAGTCCTCTGCCTTCTCAGAATGTGTACAGAAGACTATAAATATGTATCTATAAATATGTCCTTGTGTCGCACTTCTCCTATATGTGAAAAGCTAGCATGAAGGAGTTCTTAGCTAACCATCTCCACAGCATGTGAGACGTCAGCAGGGGTCATTTCCTGCAGGAGCGCACAGGAGCAGAGCTCCAGCAGTAAAGAGCCTAGGGAGCGGGCACATGCAACAAGCCCCACCCCCTGCTCCCAGCAGCCCTCAGTCAGAGCAAGAAGCAGCCAGGTAAGTTGCAGAGCCCCCCACCCAGCCCCCCAGTCCAAAACAGTCCAGTGGCACCTTTAAGACCAAGTTTTATTGAGGTACAAGCTCTCCCTCCTCTGCGAGGACAGATCTGCACATCCCCCCCCCCAATAGCTAGCAATCCAAAACAGTCCCGTGGAACCTGAGTGGTGGGTGTTGCCTTCTGACACACTTCCGGTGATGTCAGGGGGTGTGGCCTATGCAAATAAGTTATGCGAATGAGTTGTGCTAATGAGATCTTGCACCTCTTTTTCTACGAAATGACCCCTGGACGTCAGTATGTAGGAATATACAGGCCCATTCAAATAAGAGGATCATTGATGATGAACATTTGAAATCCAGTCATTTCTTACCACTTTAATTATGTCTTCGTATCATGAAGAAACACCAAAGGCCTGAGATAAACCAGATGAGGCAGCCCTCCCCCACTTTCCCTGGAGCAACTTCACAACCTGTGGAACCCTGAGGGAAAGGCAAGAGGTATCTATCCTGGCCAGGGATCTCATACCTTTGAAGACAACCATCAGCATGAGACAATCTCTACAATGTATTGCTTCCTCTTGTCAAATGTTATATTGTCAACCATCTTGGATGTCTCGAGTTGACAGAAAGGCAATATATAAATGCATTAAATAAATGTACTTAGAGCTAATCAATGGGGGGAATCCCGTCAATCGCAAGCAAGCCACCTTAGAGGCCTGTTTACTTGCACTGAAACGTTGAATAATTGCTCTTTTCTATGTCAAAGCTTACCACAACTGAACTAGAAGATATTTCAATTCCTTTTAAAAGCTATCATGGGAACAACAGTGAACCCTATTAGGGTCCCAACAAAAGCCCTTTTCTAGGGCTGCCAGGTCCCCCGGCACGTGAGGGATCCCCCAGTTTCCGGCGCACCCCCTCACTCCAGCCATCTGGCCGGCAGGGGAGAATTACCCTCCCCAAACAGGCAAGAAGCAGGAAATAAACGTGACATGCCTACATCACCCGGAAGTGATGTAAGCACATCGGTGATGTTAGGGGACGCTCTGGTTTTGGGGGGAAATTCTATGGTAGAATTAGCTTCAGACCATAAAGTTTTGCCCAAAAACCCAAGCACCCCACCATAGGCACACTGTGCTTATTTCTGGCTCCTGGGTGATGTAGGCATGTCGCGTTGTTCCAGCTCCCGGTAAATTCCCCCCATCCCCCACCCACGGACCTACTGACTTGGCAACCCTACCCTGTTCACAAGTTATAGTGAGTACACTTGATTTCTCTTCATATCTGTATTGTGCAATTATCATGTTTTGTTCAATGCATGTACAGCTGAATGTGTGGTTCAAACCCCACATTTATGCAGGTACTGGTCTCCAGTTTCATTTGTAAAGTGAAAGTGTGTTGGCTCTTTCTTACAGATGTGCAGACACAAAGGATGTACAAGCATTCACTGTAACATATGAACAGGGCTACAGTAAACACCGTGGAACACAATGTTGGCTCATTACACAAGACTTGGTGTACTCTATATTATATTATTTCATCTGGTATAAACTATAGCCCTCCAACCAGTGCAAGATCTGCAGCCATTCAACTGCTTTAACAATCCCTCTCCTGAAAAGAGCCATAATGCTCAGGATTCTTTGGGGAAGAAATTCCATTCCAGTCAAAATATAGAATTATGTAGCGTAACTATGCCATTGTATGTATTTGGGTTTCCTTTTGATATGTCAAGGATTGCTGTCTTTTTATTGACAGAGGAGTTGTATTATCTGGATATCAGAAGCTCAGTAGATGAAGCTTTTCAGAGCACAGAAATGGTGTGATGCAGAATGCTTGGGTTGTTAAAGGCAAGGAGCTTTTATATATTAAAACTAGCCTGATACCCGTGCTTCGCTACGGTATTTAAGTTCCGTAGATCCAGTTATAATACTGATTATGTGAAGTTTGAAAGGTAACATTTGTCTAATGGAGAAGACTGTAGTGTAAAGGATGAAGTGAGACATACGTACTTTTTTTTTTCTCTGTCGGACCTCTCTGTAGACCACAGTGGTGGTTCTGCCCTCAGGTGCTAGGATCACCAGGCTGCTTGGTGAGCTCACTCTGGAGCAGGCTCCTAGAAAGGTCCTTTACTATCTCCCCATGAACATTCATAAGCTCAATTGCCATGCTGGCTGTTATGAGAAATGTCTATTCAGGAGTCTTCAATCGCTGATTTCTGTACCTGTCCTCAACTGTATGCAGTCTCTTTTAACTGTGTTTTTACCTCAGAACATTGAGATCCACAGTTGAGCAATCAGAGGGAGGTAGGGTGCAAACAGCAGATTTTACCTCAGAACTCTGAGCTTCACCGTTGACCAATCAGAAGTGGGGGGGAGGCAGCAGCCTGTCAGGCACATGGAAAACAATTGGGGGACCACATTTTGCCCCCCTTTTACCCCCTTAGGGATCATGTTTCACAGAAATCTCTTCGTAGTGGGGGTTGACATCATGGAAGGAATGCACTCTCCTTATTTTGGGTTTCTTGATGCAGGGGTTTGGCCTGGACATTGAATTGGGGGGGAGGGCATACCCCCCCCTTTTTTTTACGAAATTGCCTCTCGTTTATATTACATTTAAGAAGTGGGACATAACTACATATTCAAAACACCATCCGAGCAATCAGATATTAAGCAAGTTCATATGAACCAATTTTCTAAAACCCACATTGTGAAAAGTTAAATAACCTAATACAGGAAACAAGTTTTCTACAAATTTGGGGTATATTTCCATTGTGGGTGGGAGTGTGGGTAAGCTGGGCCAGCAGCACTGCTAAGGTGATCCTGCTGGGGCGGCATCCTTCATGGATTAAAGTACCCTGGCCATGCTCCTACATCTGACAGACACAGGCCTGTCTGGTATTGGGGGGGATTGTATTTAAAGGCATTGGAGAGGCTGGGCCAGCAGCAGTGCTAAGGCAATCCTGCGGAGCAAACCTCCCCGGAGGCTGTAAGCATCCCACCTCCTCTCCTACACCTGACAGGCAGCAGCCGTCCAGTGTAGGAGGGGGAAGGAGGGGAGGATTAGAAGCCACTGTGGAGGCGGAGCTGGCAGGATCACGAAGGTGTTACTGCTGAGGCAGGCTCCCTCATGACTTTAAGCACCCTGCAACTGCTGCTGCACCTGACAGACAACCGCCTGTTAGATGTAGGAGGTGGGGGGAGTGTGTTGGAAGCCATCAGAGAGGCTGGGCCAGCAGCATTACTGCACTTCACAGGTGGTCGTTGGCCATTCCTGATTTCCTCAACTGTCATTAGCTCTGTGCAGTCTCCTGTAACTGTTGGGGGGGGTTACCTCAGAACACTGAGCTCTGCAGCTGACCAATCAGAGAGTGGGGGGTGCAAGGAGGCAGCAGCCTGGCAGCCTCATAGGAATCAATGGGGGGAGCACATTTTACCCCTTTTGTCCCCCTTAGGGGTCGAATTTCTAAAAATCCCTTTTTAGTGAGCACCTACGCCATGGTAGGAGCGGTCTCCCCGAATGTGGTGCTTCTAGGTCCAGCGGTTTGGCCTGGGCATTGATTTTATGGTGGTTTTATATATATAGATGTGGCAACTTATACACTACATGTGATAATTGATTAGACTTCCATTAATCAAGTCCAGCTGACCTGTTTCTTCCTTACTAACCACAAGGAATTTAGCAGACATAATTTGTCCTTACAGAAGTGCAATGTATGAGGCAATCAACAGCTTTCTATTTAAATTTAACACAACCTTCAGTGTTCCTTAATTATCACTAATGCCATGGTGATAAAAACTGACATGTTTCTGCTTTCATGTGTCAAAATAGAATTTTTAGAAGTAGTTCAAAGCTTTTTTAAAGGTTTAAGCAAATTTATGCTTGTAACACTGTGAAATCAGTTATCTCCAAACTGGCTGCTCCAGGCTCAGCAATTTCAAAGGACTATTTTTTAAATTCTTTTTCAAAATGCAAACATAAGAAGCATTTCCCGCAGCATCAGCTTCCCAACATCCCTGCTAAAAAAAACTGTTTATGTGCTTTTTATGTAACATTTCATGGAAGTTTGACAAATGTACAAACTACCAGAAAGGCTGATACGTACCAGGATTGGATGTATACTGCATTGCAATCATTAGCATTGAAGAAGCAGACAGATTAACATGAGCTGGAACCCCTTCTCTTCTTGAGGAGCCCACTTTAAGGAAAAACAGAGGTTTAGCAGTTAGCAATGCAAATTTGCCATTTTGATCATGTAAATGTCAATCAAGTATGGAATTAGTAACATTCAGCCAAACATGGAATTGTAAGTTTACAAGGGTTTCCCATTTACATTCCCATCCTGGCTTTTCTCTACCTCAGTGGAACTGGAGTTGTCCTCAGGTTCCAGCGGGGGTTCCCCTGGTTTGGGGGGCTTTTGCCCACCGCCAGCTAGCTGGCCAGCAGGGGAAACCCCGCCCCCAAACAGCCACATCCCCAAGTGACATCCCCAATGCAATGACATCACCCAGAAGTGACGTCATCACATCAGAGATGTCGCAGGGGATGCTTTGGTCTGAGGGCAAAACTCTATGGTAAATTTGCCCTCAAAACATAGAGTTTTGCCCACAAACCAGAGCGTTGTTGTGTGATGTCACAGACATGACAACGTCACTTCCAGGTGATGTTATTGCATTGGGGACATCGTGCAATGTCCCCACCCCTCCAGAGGAATGCCCTCCAAATTCCCCCGCTGGCAACAAGGTAGGACCTCTATGGAAGACCCCAGGAGGTATCCCCTTAAGGTCTGCAGAGGACTGTCTTTGGAAACAGCTGCCCCAACCACAGAAGGATGGTTGATTTGGAACTTCCCAACATTTTGTTATTGCCTCCCATGACAGCCATTTTGTGATCAGTTCTGCTTCCCATCATAACCTTCTCATGATGAGTCACACTTCCCATGGCAGCCATTTTGTGATGGTGCTCACTTCTCTTTCTCAAAATTCCAACAGTGCTGATAGGATCAATAAGTTGGGACCCCTGGTGTAGAGGTTGGGAGACCCAGTTTCAAATCCCAGCTCAGCAATGAAACTCACTGGTGATCTTGGGCCAGTCATTCTTTCTTAGTTTCAATCTACCTTATGGGGTTGTGAGAACAAAATGTGACATGAATGCCCCCCTAAGTTTCTTGGAGGATGGATAGAATAAAGATGAGAAGGCAGATCAATCCCAGGCCATCTCCTTCCAGAAATATACTGTGTGTGTGTCTGTCTCTGTGTGTGTGTCTGTGTGTGTGTGTCCTGTCACATCCTGTCACAAAGTCAACCACCAGGCCAACTCTCTCCTGGACAGCAGCCAAAGACATCTCTCTGATTCATATCATATAATCTGCTCAGTGCAGGTTAGTGACAGCTGGTTGACCAAGGACTCAGGACTCCTGGATGATGTGTCCCTTCCATGACTCGGAGCTATCCTTTTCTCGCTTTGTTATGTTCCTGACTCAGAGCTATGACGATCATCGATGCTCTGCAAATAAAATTGGGAACATATCCAACCCACAGCATATTCAGTAATTGGATGCAGAAGAGGCAGCACCTGACCTCACATAAGGGTGAAGATGATCTAGCTTCATTCTTTCTGACTTGGTGAAATTGCTTTCTTAAAACCAGACACAAACAGGATTCTTTTGAGCCACTGTACTTTACAACATATTGAATGAAAGAACTGTAGGATTTAGAGTGTGAGAAGAAAATTGAAGACAACATGTGATCTGGTGCAAGAGGAACTGTTGTTTATACTGAAAGAATGCCTTGGTTTGAGTTATATAAGGCATTTGCTGGCACTGTTCTTTGCTGGCACTGTTCAGCTGAATTATCTGGGGGAGTGGAAATAATACTTTTTTTCCCAACTAAAGGTGCAGTCTTCAATGGAAAGATGGTTTGCAAACTGTGTTGGCTTGACACAAGTCACCAAAAGGCACACTGGAAATATATATGTTCAGAAACTACTGGATTTGATCCTATCAGTATTACTGCTTGATCTCGTCCCCTCCCCACTACAGCCTTTATGCCATTCCACTTTTGCACCACAGATATCATCTACATGGCATCATATCTTTCTCATATAGAATTATTCTCCTGGGATAATCAGTAGCCCAACAAATGAAACCAATAGATTGGATCCAGCTTAATTTGTAAAGGGTTTCCCCAACAGAAGCAGCACGTTCTCCAGTGGAGAATGACTTCCATTGGAGGAAGTCTTCAGAAAGTGAGTTACAGCCACTGAACTTAGACTGTACTACTCAGGACTGTACTACTCAGGACTTTGCTGAGTGGAGTGATAATATACAACTCTTGTCTTTTTTGTGTGCATTCTTTTATACTGGGAGAACAGCACAACAGATGTTTCTGTACTTAACTAGGAAATATTTATATGTTTAAGTAAACTATCTGGAAGATCTGTGATGAAATAACAATGCACATATCTATTTCCAGCTTTGTCTTTGTACCTAATTCATGTCTTAGGGTTGCCAGTCACAGCTGGCAATCTGCAGAAGGATTGAGGGGGCTAGGGACAAGCACACCTGTCTCCCATGCGCAATTTCACTTCTAATGAAAAACCAGAAGGAACATCATGATCTCTGTGGTTAAACCGTAGAGTTTTGGGTGAATCCTTGAGTGTCCCTCAGTGTCATGACAGCATTTCTATTTTCTCACCAGAAGCGATGTTGCATGTTGGTGTGCCTCTTCCATTTCCCCATTGTTTTTTTCCAAAGCAGCCTTGGAAGTGCTGGCATGGAACACCAGAAAGTAGTGGGAGGTGCATTTGGATGGAAACAGCAACAGGCTAATGAATCAGAAAGCTGCTGTAAAGTTGCCATCCAGCCTACTAATGGAAAGTGCTGTAAGGCAACAAGCTGTTCTAATGGAAATCACAGTTCTAAACTAGATATGCTCCCAATGTTGTGAACTAATACAGAAAACATATAGTGGGAAAACATCAAAGGCGTAAAAGATCACAAGATCCAAAGGTAAGAGAGCCAAAAGAGCAAAATACTGATTTGTGCATAAGGGAATTAACTAGTGCTTTGGGATAATTAGTTCGGAAATGAGTTAAACTGTACAGATGAAGCAGTACCAAGAGTACACAGACAATGGAGTACTTCATTGCTGTTATTTTAAATATATAAGTATAAAAGGGCTTCTGATTGCCCTCAACAAGAGTTATCTACAGAGGAGAAGCTGCATACTGATAGACAAACACTACTTTTGGGAGCTTCTTATGGGAGTTCCTGTCCTCATGGAGCTCCTTGAATCAACAGGATGCTCACAAAGCTGCCATAGAAATCAATAGGACGCATTTGATTGGTATTGGAAGAGTAGTATTCCTTATTTCCCCCTAACTATCCACCCCTAAAAACTACACTAAAGACGCTGGGTTAGTTCTAAAGTTTCAACAGAGCAAAGTTCATGAATGGGATTTTCCTCCCCGCCCTTTACTACAGCTCATTGACCCCACCTGAAATGACCCTCAGGAATGGTATACAGGGCAAAATGGGGATCCATAGGAGGAGGAAGAAACCAGCAAAAATCATCCACCTGTTCTGTCATCAAATTCCCATTCTGCATGCGTAAGTGCTGTTATAAGCCAACAAAAGAGCACCTTTGCATCCAGCCCACTAGGGTTGCCAGATCTTGAAATCTTACGGGCGGGGGAGGCTCCGTTCTGTCCGGGAGCAAGCTGTGTGCGTGCGACGTCACCGGAAGTGACATCAGATGTTGCTGACATTGGGGGCGTGGCCGAGCTCGTGGGGGGGGAACATATGGTGAATCAACAGGATGCTCACAAAGCTGCCATAGAAATCAATAGGACGCATTTGATTGGTATTGGAAGAGTAGTATTCCTTATTTCCCCCCGGGGCCCAATTCCGCCACGGCGGAAATTGGGCCTCCGAAGCTGGGGATTCCCCACCCCCCGGGCACATTTGGCAACCCTACAGCCCACAGAACTTTCACACGTACATAAAACTTCCACTTCACCTCTATCCTTGTGCAGACCTTAATCAGTTCTTGAAAACTGCCCAGTAAAGTCAAGGAACACACGGCAAAGCAAGGGGTTGGGAGGAACATTATCAGGCCTGTGAATCAATGGAATGAACCAAGCCCTGTGGCTGCAGAGAAAACCCTTGTATAGGCTAACCCTTTATCAGCTGTGACCAAAATTATGAGCATCTCTTGGTGGTGGTTGGGACATCACAACACAAAACTCTATTGACACTTTTGGAGGGCAGCTAGGCTGTTCTGCAGCAGAAAGACAAGAGTCGAGTCCAGGAGCACCTAAGAGACCAAGAAGACTTGGGGGGTATATCTGACGAAGGGAGCTTTGACCCTCAAACGCTCATACCTTCAAAACTCTCTAAGGTGCTACCGGACTCAAATCTTGCTGTACTGAAATCTGTCCTTTCTCATTCTTGTATAAGTAACAATAACAGTAGATTTGGGGGTTGTTTCAGCTTCACAAGATGTATCCAGACCCCTAAAGGGAGTGCACCCATTGTTTCAGTGAAGAAGAGGGAACCTTCAGTTCTCTTGTAGAAACATAACTGGGAGTTACTTACGTATAGCCATGGGCAAGAAAGATGTGCTGAGGTACTCTATGATATCTTTATGGAGAAACGGCGGGAACGTGGCTAAAGTGGAAATCATTGTATATGGCAAAGTACTCAAGATGTCATCGCTGAGAAAGGGTAGCAAACATGTCGTTGTGTAAAAAATTGACTGTCCAAGATCTGTCAAAGGCACATAAATAAAGAATATGAATGCCTGGTTACAACACAAAGCTACATTACAACTATCTTCTGCCTCCTGGAAAATCATTGCCCCTATTTTGTCCTTTTGGGGACATGCTGTTATAACTTGTTTAGAGTGAGTTGCTAGCACTGTTACCCTTCAGGATTCAGTTCCCTTCCCGGTATAGTTAAACCTCTGAGAGGATGGTTGGATACATCTTGTCCTTAATGCACAAGTTGGTAAGATATATGTGCATGGAGGCCCCAAGCAGGTCAGAGTGACATCTCCCATGCTGCGGTTGCTTAAGTATATTTCGAATGGCTAACAACTTAACAGGAGAATTCTGTTTTTGAAATATACATTTAACCAAAGGAACGCACTCTCTCCTGGCTTTCAAATCAGTAGGAAATAGGCAGTAGCATGGTAAATGAATACAGCATATCAAAAATACATCCTCCAGCAATGGGGGATAGTGGGGGATACTGAGATTGTGCATTCTTGGTACGAGAACTGGTGTTACTATAGGGTCCCTGTTTTCCTCTGTGAAATGTTGGAAGGGTAATTGATAATTAAAACATGAGAAGACATCCTATGTTTTACATCCGTATGGAGTAGATTCGGTCTAAATCAGTGATGCCCTAAAAATATTTTTTATAAAAAAAAAAATGATGTAAACAACCGTGACAGATGAAGTCAAAAGCATAAACTCTTTCAAAATAATGCCAGTCCACCAGTTGCCCTAACCAGAACGATGCAGGGGAAAGAGGGTGGAAGAGTCAACACTGAAGCAACTCCAAATATCGATGAACACAATATTTGTAGAGAAATGCCTTATACAGCAAGATATTCAAAGAGGTACTAAATCTGTTTGACAAATACCATATACTTTAAAACACAATGGCCTGTATCACGGCAAGAAAGGTAGACTACAAAGTAAATAAATAAATAACTGATTGATTGGCGGGTTTTTTAATTCTGCCTTTCCACCATATTATTTCATTAAAAATACAATAAATTAAGAATAGGAAGGCAGAATGTTTGACTGGTGTTGATTTATCAGACTTATATGGGGGTTATACTGTCAGTAGTAGATCAAGGTAAGTGCTTCTGGACCCAGGTTTGCTAGCCATTACCCATAAAGACCTTCACAACTTAGGGCCCCATATTTGTCAAACCACATCTCCCAGTATACCTCCCCACAGAGTTTACATTCTTCAGACAGCTTCCTGCTTAAGGTGTCCTTCCTTCAGACTGTCCACACGGCCACAGCAAAGATCATGGACCTTTTCTGTGGTGTGCCCAGTCCTTTGGAACAGCCTGCCAGTGTAGGTGAGGAGGACACCGTCCCTCGATACGTTTAGGAAGACATATAAGGCAGTCATCCTCCAGACAGCATTTGGTGGAGGAAGAACTTTTCCAGCAGAACTGGCTGTGAGTTTGCTGATCCTGTGTGTTCTAACTCCCGGGTGTGTTAAGTCTGAATATCTTTCAAATCGGTAAATGGCACCTTTTTAATTTCATTAATTTATGCCCTTTGCAACTTGGTCGCTAGACTATTCTCTGCACTGAGTCCTAGGAGATAAGGCCAGATAGAAATGCTTTAAATCAATAAATGCACATTCTCAGAAGCACACAAACACACACAAAAGGCATGAAGCTGATGGGCAAATGTTGGTTCAGGGTCTTTTCTCCAGTCCTCAGGGTCTTTGTGCCACTGTTGTTCTGACTGTGGTTCTTCTTTCAGGCTGCCCCAGCCATCAGGCGAAAGCATCCCTACTCCACGCACACACTTCCAAAACAGGCTGCCAATGTTACCATCAGTCAGCACGACAAAAATGCTTCTTTTTGCTTTTATATCAACATAAATTTACCATCCATTCTTTGTGAAGCCTCTTGTCTGTTTCCAAACAGGATGAAATTGTAATCCTGGCAATCCCTGAAAGACTCTGAATGCAGGATATAACAGTCTCATTGGTTTCTTTTTTTTGGTAGTCATTATCGTCCCAAAGGGAGAAGTAGACAGCTTCAACTTCAGTAAGTATTGCCACAGACTATAACATCTGCAGTCGAAACAACGGCTTCTGGCTCACCTTCATGGTGATTTGATGCAATACAGCTATTAAAGCATTCCGTTAAATTTAAAATGCATTTGAGATTTTTGAGTATACTTGCACTTTGGACACACATGCTACTGTTTCACCTCCACAACGTATCACCGCCCCGCCCCCACTCCTGCCTGGCTTTTTGTTCAGTGCACGTTCCCCTTTCCTCAACAGCGCCTTTTGGGGGGGCCACGGCTGACAGGGGGAAAGGCAGAAAAAGATCTGCTTCCATCAGTGGAACAATAGCAAAGTACCAACGTTTTCCTTAAGCATCTTCTCTTAAAATATAGATCCCAAAGGAATGGCAATATGATAAACAAGAATGTGATCCATCTCCTGCAGTCTAAATTGGTACAGTCCCTCCTACTACCTCGGAATTTGACCACCTAATTTCCACTTTATTTCCACTCAGACCTCTACCACCTAATTTCCAGTTTTCTGTCTGATCACTCAGAACATTTGCCATTATTTTCCTTGCTCTGTCTCACCTTCACCCAAGCTGTGAAGTTACTGACAAAACACATCAGTGTAGTGGAGGTACCACTGGAAATATAAGATCACAATCGTGCATTCATGGCAAAAGGGAGGAATGTCAGCATTTGTGGTGACTGGTTCCTTCTGTATGTCAGTTCACAGTCTGAATGGACCGTGTAGATCAAACCCCAGGGGGAACTTGCATATCACCTCGGACAAAATTGTGTCTCCATGGAGTCTCTTCACCAAGGGAAGAGAAATTAACTGAAACACAGGTTTGTGTGAAAGTGAGAACCATCCCACAAACAGGATTTCCAGAGGGACTGGCAGAAGAGGAAAAGGAGGCAGGAACTAGGGTGGGCCTTGACCCCATAACACAGCTTGAGTTTGTAGTTCACATTAGACATCTAACAGAGAACTGTTCCTACAGTATTTGTAAATAAATATAGGTGTGCATTCAGACATATACATTTTCACATGAATTAAACAGTACATCACATTGCATTGTGACCAGCGCTAGATCTCCCTACTGCAGAATTTAGAGTTACACCAATTTATGCTCGTGTTTTATTTCTGTTAACATTTATATAGCTTAGTGCAGATGTAGCGTGTAGATCCAACATAGGAGATAGTTACTGTACTTATTGTTTTCATTTTATTATCAGATTTTTTTGTAATCTGCCTTGTTGAGTCTCGGTGAGGAAACAGATATAAAAATGTTGAGTCTCGGTAAATGAAACAGATATAAAAATATAAATCCATGCCAATCCAAACCCGTGCCTTTCATAAGCTTTCCACCATTTCCCCGGGCATCAAGTTGAAGGTAAAGATCCAAAAGGTCCACTTACCATGTTGACCATGTTGTAGCAAAGGAACTAGATCCAGCAGAGTCACCAATGTCACGTATAGTCCTTGATAGTCCAATGATGGGTAGTCTGATAACTGAGCATCACGACTTTGCTGGCCGCGTTCAGTGGGAGCATCTCGCAGGACGCTGTAAAGGAGGGAGCGAGTAACAGTAGGGTTGATGGAACTGACCTGTGGTCTTAGAGATGGGGTGAGTGGGAATGGCACAGGAAAAAGACACATGGTCATGGGCACTGTCAAATTGGAGGCATCTTGATTCTCCTTCTTCCCTGTGCGGGACAAAATGCTGTTGGGGGGACAAAGAAAAAAAAGAGACAACAAAGACACAAAGAACAGCACATTACATTGAAATGACACTATAAAACAAATAATAAAACTCCAGATACATCCCACATGAGATGCAATCGTCACCAATACCAGTGCCATCTTGCAAAATCTAGCAACCATTCATTCCCATGCTTCGGAGAAAAGACAATTCAGAATTGCTACGTGTGGGAAATTTCCATTGCATCTCATGTGTTATCTGGTTCATAAGGAGCAAAAATATAAAAAATGCATGTTTCAGTGCCATACCCATGTTTCACAGTTCAGCTAAATTTGATGCAATTTGCCACAGAAGGGGGGGGGGAGCAGAAGAGCATCATAATCGAATTATACAAAATTTTATTTTATTTTACAAAAACAGCCTTGCGAGTTTGAATACCATCATTAGAAACCAGGGAGGAATTACGTGCAAAAAATAGGTGTGGCACTTGCAGAAACATGTTTTTAGCAAAGAATAAACATGTGCGTTTGTTAAGAGAGCCTTAAAAATCACATGTTTATTGCGTCAAAATAATGTCTGTATGTATTTTCATGATACTGTTTCGCAACATTCCATCAGTATCATCTGAGATAATGAGATTTCAAACAGGCACATGGATTTAGAAATAATATAATATTTCTAAAAATGTTAGCTAAACTACGTTTGGAAAAGCTTTAAAAATAATATATAGTTGATGGGGCTGCAGCGTATGTTTTGTGAGCTAATGAGAATGGTGGGGGGGGTTGTGTGCTTTTAATCTGGGGGGAAGGAGACATCCTACTTTACAAATACAAACACCAGGGGTTGTTTTTTTCTGTAAGTGGTCACTTTTGAAATCTAAGGGCTAAGCAAGCATTACCTGTTATATAACTGCATATCAGACATGGGACTTAATCATACATTTCTAATACTACTTACGTAACTTATTCAACAAACTCACTACAGACTAAAGGAGAAATAGTTTAAAATAATTCAAAGGCTTGGTGGGAATCCAAAGGAAGGCTAAGTCAATCAAATTGCTCTGCCTTCTGAATAGCGTTGCAAGTAAATGATTCAAACTTCCTGAAACGACATTTTTTAAAAATATATATATATGCGGCTGAAGCATCAAAACTACAGAGCGCAACCCAGCAAAAGTGTAGCACTTTTAAGACCAATTGATTTCAATG